ATACAGTCTCAGTGTTTGGTAACTTGGCCAAATCTGTCACAGGTTTATCGATAAACCAGGAATCCACAGGCTCCAAACAGCAGAAATCCTGTCATCATGAAGAACTAAGAACTACATATGATCTGCAGAGTCATTTATTCTGATGCAATTTAGTTTAATAATATAAAGAAATGTTTGCCAACAATCTTACTTTTAATGTTTACTTTTAATCCTTTGCTGACATCTTTCAATTGTTTGAATTGAAAACCTTTCGATTTATTCTGAAATATTACATGAATTTCTTCAGAAATTCTGCATTTCTATTGGAGGAAATCTGGCTTCGATCCACAGCTCTGAAGAGCACACGTTCGTCAGCGAAATGGTTCAGAGAGTGACCGGCTATTCTCATAGTACCTGGATTGGAGGCTATGATGCCGTATCTGTAAGCCCTGCAGACACTCAGAGTCCAATAAATAGTCTCAAATAAATTATTCTTTCTTCCTGGACCATCAGCATTGTGTGTTTTACATATTGGATGATGTTTGTCATCAGGAGAAAACGTGGCTGTGGAGCGATGGCTCAGAGTTCAACTTTCAGCGCTGGTATTCCAACCAACCAGACAACTCTGGAGGAAATCAGCACTGCATGCATATAAAATATGCAGGTAAATTAATATTTACTTGAGTTTAAAATTTTGTTTATTTGGTTGTGGGGAAAAAAGAAACTTCATGCTTTATAGCAACATTGGTGTTAATTGAAGTTGCTGCTTTTTGTGCCAACAGGAGACTACTGGAACGACATGCCATGCACCTCCAACATGCCTTTTGTTTGTGCCAAGAATTTGTGAAGAATCTGCAACAAGCATCAACTCAGGCTTTGTCTCAAATTCAACTCTTTCAGATTGAAAAACAGCAACTGCACACTTTTAATTTGGTTTCTGACTTGTTTCCTTTTTGGTTTTTCCAGCCATTGTAGTTTGCTTTATGATGATTTACATCTTGAAATTTGATATTTTTATTACTTGGATTTTCTTTTGCAACAGTTTATGGGGATGAATCATTGAATAAGAACGAACAGGCAACATGTCAGTTTCAGTGTGTATGTATTCACTGTGCCTGTGGTTGTGTCTTTGGGCAAGGCACTTCAGCTGCTGGTGGTCAACGGACCTTTCAGTACCTCTTTCTACATTATCCTTCATCATGCGCAGACAGTTGGCAACTGGTAAATAGTCAGATTTTATACATTATTTAAGAACTAGAGTTCTGAAAGCTCCTTTTGAAGGAATGTGCATCCTTAATTTTTATCTACAAAAACCCCTCCCATCTCTGTCTTGCAATGACCTCTGACCTTTTGAGAGCGAATAAAGTGTAAGAACATAAACAGACAATCTTTTCACATAAACCCATGCAATCCAGACGCAGCAAACTTCAGAATATTTCAGTGGAGGTGGAGTGTTTTCTAAAAAACTGCAATATGGAAGTTTGATATAAAGAAATAAGTTTTTACATATTTGTTAAAACTGTCACCATGTTGTGGCAGTTTATGAGACAGATAATCTGACAAAAAAATGTATATCCTCCCTGAGCTGTTAGTGGTGTCTGAATAAATGCAACAAAAACACCCAATCAGAGCAGGGAGGCGGGGCATAGCACTGTCAGTCAATCTCCTGTATGTGCTGCTAAATATGGTGGTGGTGGAAAAACAACTCATTCTGGGAAAACCATTTATTTGGCATCATCGGTGGCTATGCTAACAAGCATTAGCATTCATGGTATTCAGAAGTAGCGTTCTCCGATTTAAGAACTAATTGGAGTGAAATAAATTTTTTTAAATGGACAAAATGTGCATCAGTATTTGTGCATTAAAGACAACAGACTGTTTTTAATATATGAAAAACAGAAACTGTGCAAACAGAAGGGATGTGAACCAGAAACGTAATTTAGCTGAATAAATCTGTGGAAAAACCATCAGAAATGTATAAACTTGTTTGCGTTCATTGGGAGAGTCGAACAGCTGCTGGGGAAAGGATCTGCTTTAACGCTCCTTTGTGCCCTGAGGATGCAGCAGTTTGTCCGGGATGGAGCGCTGCAGTTCAGCCGCAGCTTCATTCTGGGGTAGATAGAAACAAATCTTTGTGATCATCTAATCTTTGCCTACTTGGGGATTGCACTGCAGATTCACACGAGCTGCTTTGAGTGATTTCCCATAAACCAGTCTGATCAAACAGCTGAACCAAGAGAAACTGATTTTATTTAGCGCTGTGTTGGGAAAAAAAAGATAAATTTGTGGATGCGTTGAAGTCCACCAAGATGGCATTACTGGAATTGATCTGAGTTTCAAAAAAAACTTTTCTCGATCTGATTGTCTGAGATGTACCTGTAAGCAGATTTATTTTCTGAACGCAGATGTAACGTCCTGCAGAAGTTTTACAGTGAGGCTGGAAAACTCCTTCATCTTCTCAAAAGCATGTTTTGTGTTCAGGAAATTCTTCTTTAATTCACATTAAATGTCCGGACTGCAAGCTACACCTAACCTCGAGTCAGCATGGACAGAATGCTTTGCTCTCATGGTCATGAATGTGTTTTATGAGCAGGAAGCTGTTGGGCGAGTCTCTGGATCGATCAAAAAAACTAATTGTAGAAAATCTTCCATCATAAAAATCAGGAAAATTAAGGATATTTCTCAGCTGAATGTTTATTTATTTAGCCTCAATCAATGAATTACAATCCAATTATGGAATATATGTGAAACCACTTATCCATGATTCATTGATTCATTTCAAAACGATTCACACCAAACGAACGCAGCACAGCAGAGCGATAAGAACTACTTTTGTTTTAGTTCACATTCTTCAGACATGATCTGATCTGGGAGATAAAATCCACGGGTAGAGATCACACAATCACACACAACCTGTTTCACCTTCACGTTTTGGCCAACAGGAATAAGATAAAATCGGTTTTATAAATCAATCGTGTTTTTGCTTCAATTGTTTTTGTCTTGAAACAGCAGAAAGTTGCTGTTTTCATCTTATTTTCCCCTGAAGCTTCATGTTGGCAGGAAACCTGGAGCAGAGAGAAAAACCCTGAGATTATTCGCCTGTTACAAGGTTAACTCGGAAAAAAATCAACACAAATCACAGCACAAAGGACAAGAGGTCATCTCATAACCTCAGCTCAGTCAGCTTCTCTCTCCTCAAACAGGTAATGGCGGCGGCCATGCCAGGTGAACCCAGGGGGGCAGCTGCCGCAGGAATCAGCTGCAGCAAGAAGGCTGCGTCATCACCATCATCATTATTCTATCAAACAAAAAAAGGTTAGATAATCTCTAATAATCAGAAATGTGAAGAAGTAGCTTCAGGATTGACCACCTTCTGACCCGTCCCCTTATTCTCCCTGGTCACATGTAAAGTGGACCTGGCCATTCTGGACGTTACTTTAAAGATTCCTTGAAGTTTTCCTTCAACTACTTGAGCTCCTCAGTGAAGGAAAGGCTCTTAAACATTGCAAAGCCATTTACACACTCCTCCATCAAACAAGAAGCACAATCCTGAGTCATTGCCTTCAGCAAAACTAACAAGTCAGTCTTTTCTTCACTTTTCAGAAATGAGATTTAAATACCCAGATTAGTTTGTCCTCTGGAGATTTTCTTATCTCAGAGATGCAGCAGCCCAGGAGCAAACTGTGGAGAGAAAGAGGCCTGGAGTTCCTGACAGACCGGCCTGTGTGTGTGTGTGTGTGTGGTGTGTGTGTGTGTGTGTGTGTGTGTGTGTGTATGTGGTGTGTGTGTGTGTGTGTGTGTGTGTGTGTGTGTGTGTGTGTGTGTGTGTGTGTGTGTGTGTGTGTGTGCGTGCGTGTGAGTTTGTTTAAATTATCTTTTGGGTTTTGCTGACATGTACAATATTGTGGGGACCCGCTGCTCCTTGTGGGGACAGAAGCCTGGTCCTCACAGGGGAAATGCTGTATTTTAGTCAGGGGTTAGTTTTAGGACCAAGGTGTGAATTGAGTTGTGTTTAGGGGAAAGGGTAAGGTTTAGGCTGTAGAAAGTAATGGAAATCAATGGAAAATCCCCACAAAGCCAAAAAAAAAAACAACAAACAAAACAAGCATATGTGTGTGCGTTTGTGTGTGAGTGTTTTTTTTAATGTTATATAAAAGAATCTAAAAAAAAACTACGATCAGAATTTTGGGCTCTCTGGTATTTTATTGACAATCAATCACCTAATCAGTGAGTCAATCAATCAATCTAATTTATTTGTAAACCACATTTGACCAAAAAATCTGTCCAAAATTCTTTACATCATAAAAATACAAAACCAAAAAGTAATAAAAACATAGTGATCTTAAACATAATCAATAATCATCAATCATTTCAATCAAAGCAATTTAAACAGGTGGAATATAGCCTTAATTTAAAGGAACTCAGTGTTTTTGGCCGTTTCACAGTTTTCTGGAAGGTTTTTTACAGATTTCTGTTGCATAGAAGTTGAACGCTCCATCTCCATGTTTGGTTCTGGTTCGGATGCAAAGCAGAACCGGAGATGTCTGAAGGTTGATCCAGCACCAGCAGCAGATCTTTGATCTTATGTTCAGTGATTTACCAGCAGTAGTTTAAAGTCTATTCTCTCAGTGAAGGACTATAGAACTGGGTGGTGTAGATCTGAATCAAGTCGACCTATTCATTAATATCCACTTCTAGATGTTATTTGACTCTTGCCAAACTTTGCAGAATGACTCAGGCTGACATGTCCCACTATTGGGAGCAATTTAGTTAGGATTTAGGACGATACCGATATTTATGTGATGTACAAATATGTGAAAAAACACAGAGTGAAGCATGTTCTTTCCTGTTCATAGTTTGGAAGGAGTTTGTCAAAGTTTTCACCCCATCAGGCTGTTTGTAGCGAACAAAGGCAAATTGAGCAAAATGTAAATGCATGTCAGGTTTATTGACGAAAGTTGGAAGATTGGGGAAGAAAAACAAATAAAATGTAAAGAAAACTGGAAGACACTGAAGAGAGATGAAGCTGCACATCAGTGGATCACAAGGTCTGTAGATGTTATTGATTGTGATGCATTTCATTCTCAGCACATCAGATCTGATGGTCGTTTTTGGGAGAAATACGTGGTAATGGATCTGGAAAATATCAACAATATAATCTCAGCAGAATGCATTTTAGACATCAGAAAGTAAAATATCACCAGTTCTAAACCTGCAACAAGGCATTTGGAGACTCAAGGCTGGTTTTCTGGCTTTGATGCAAAAATTAAATGTATTCTTTCTAAATAAATGCAGAAAGACCCAGGCTGGGATTCAAACCAGGACCTTGTTGCTGCAAGGCATTAGCGCTACTGACTGTGTTACTGAGCTGGACTGGAACATTACAGCTGATGAGGGAAAAGTTTTAACGATACTGCAGAGTTTGGACAAAACCTGCTCCACAGGATCAACATGGCAACCAAACTCTGGATATTTTATGATGTGATGCTACGTGTTTTATACAAAAAGGAAGAAATTGGAGGAATCAAAAAACAAGAATAAACAAATTAATAAATAAAATAAATACATAAAAAAACTATATGAATGAAAATTAAAATGCAAAGATGTAACCTTGCTTATATGGATAAATGTAGAAAAAAAACTTATGTCAGTTAATTAATTTGCCAATTAAATATCTGGATTTGTTAATAAGGTTAAGAACATTAAAAATGAAGCTGTTATTGATGGAGTTTCCTTTTGATAAAGGAAGGCAATTTAAATCACCTGGATAAAACAAATGTGACATGAATGTTTTTCAATGTTGTTATTGAATATAAAAAGACTGCACTGAAGTTAGACCATAAACTCACTTTGACATATATAAAGCACCTCCAGGTACTTGTAGGTTCCAGGACAGGGATCTCCAAACACAAAATTACTGGCTGAGACAGTACACTCCGATTCCGCCGCACATCTGTGGATCCAGATCAAAATCAGTTTTCTTGAAATTGTGATTTTGTGTTTCTTGGATTTGTTAATTAATATTCTGTTTGAAAATCCTTTAACAAAGACTGAAGCTCTGTACCTCTCAAGTTCTGAAGCTCCATTCACAGAACAATTAGTATTCTTTGTGCGTTCGCCAGGAATAAATTGGGAGCACGTCGTCCGATCGCGGCGTCCATATCTAACGCTGATCAGAAATAGCGCCCCACTTGCTGTTGGAAGATAGAAGAGGAAATGTTGGAAATCTGAATGTATTCATGCTGTAATGCTCCAGACCAACCAGTAAAACCAGTGACCTTACCACACTTGATGTGACCAACTGATCCCTCACATGTCACATGGGACAATAGTTCAGCCAACGACCTTGATTCTGTGATATGAAAGATTCAGATATTAATATCAGACACTGAAAAGTTCAGCTATCCAGGATCTAATGAAAAATGTATGTTTCATAATTTTAGATTCAATGATCTTCATATTAAAACTTGCAACACTAACCTTTCGGTTTCTGAAAACCACGTCCTGCTTAAAAAATAAATAAACAAAAGACAAAATTAATCACAAATGGAAACGACAGAAGATTTTTACTTCAAGCTTCTTGGAGCTAAGCATCAAACTAAATCTGGTTAACAACTAAACAAAAAAACTACAATTGATAAATAAACCAGTAAAATAATGTTTTTAACAACAGATATTCAAACCACAAAGAGAACAGAAGGTTTTCACTCACATTGATTTCCAGGATGAATCCACAGAGGAACAAAGTAAAAAGGATGAATTTCATCTGTATGAAAGCAGGAAACATTCAGTTACTCTGAGATATGACTGAGAAAAACTCAATGATTTTATGAAATATTTATAACAATCTGCTGAACTAAATGACATACATTTTAATTCATAAATATGAACATAAAAGCTTTTAGTAAGATTTAAACTTACTGTTCCTTCTTTGTACGCTTAAATCTCAGCATATCAAAAATGCAACTATAGGTTGACATCATCAAGTTTTAGTCAAATCTTACCTTGTGATGAAGAATCAAAGCAGCAGCAGGACTTTCTGGAAGCAATGTGTCTTCAACAGGGGAATGGAGGGTTTATAAACCTTCACTGATGATCTGGCAGGGGAAGAAAATATTTTACTCCAACAATTCAGCCTGCTGAGTTTTTCTGATCAGAAGTTCAGGTTGGTGATGGGTGTGTCACACCTGAAGCCATTTCTCCTCATTCCTATTGATAAATCATTGATCATCTCTTTATAGCCCCAGCCCAGCTCGCAGGTCACACCAGACTGAAAATGATGGGATGAAAAACCCGGTTGGGTTTTAGATACTGGCTGCAGCAGCCAGGTGGGATTTTCTGTTAACAAAGATTGTTGGCCTTGATGTGGACCGTGATTCTGTCAGCCGTCTCCATCTGCTCTCTGGTTTCATACAGGAATCATAAACCATTGATGTCTTTATCAGCTCTATGAAATCCCAGTCATTTTACTCTTGGATGAGTTTAATACATAAAACCCTCCTAATATCTCTGGAAACATGTTGGAGCTCACGATTCCTTCTGAATTTGCTTTTCTCAGTTTTGTCAGATTGTGGACAAATTTTAGTGTCATGTAAAGTTGATCCCAGTAAATACAAAATGTTTTAAATGTTTAATTCATTTCAATCCTATGTATACAGTTTGTTGAAATATAGCTTTTATCATAGCCTGATGTAAATACATTTTAGGAAGAGAGAAGAAATAAATCTTTGATATTTCAGTCTGGAAATGGTCAGCAAGTCGTTTCTAAGGCCTTGGGATTCTGGAAAAGCATAGAGAGAACCGTTATCTGTAAATGTGATGTGGGTGTTTCTGCAACAGAGTCTGTGCTGCTTTGTCTGGGACTGGAGGTTCATATTTATGTTTATAATTATTTTTGTTGAATGAGATCCCCATAAGCATCAGCAACATGCTGTAAACTACAAAAGGATTAAAATATCTGGTGTGGATGGTGTGATATCTAATGATAAGAGCTCCTTCTCACAGACAAAATGTTTAAGCAAACTTTTTAGGAAAATAAAGCATCGGTTTGTTTAGCAACAGTATAAAATTCAACCGGTTTTTCCAAACTACCACCTTAAGCTTGATGTTAACATTTTAGGAAATAGAAAAAGGTTAGATAAGCTCTAATAATCAGAAAAGTGAAGTAGTAGCTTCAGGATTGACCACCTTCTGACCCGTCCCCTTATTCTCCCTGGTCACATGTAAAGTGGACCTGGCCATTCTGGACGTTACTTTAAAGATTCCTTGAAGTTTTCCTTCAACTACTTGAGCTCCTCAGTGAAGGAAAGGCTCTTAAACATTGCAAAAGCCATTTACACACTCCTCCATCAACACAAGAAGCACAATCCTGAGTCATTGCCTTCAGCAAAACTAACAAGTCAGTCTTTTCTTCACTTTTCAGAGATGAGATTAAAATATCCAGATTAGTTTGTCCTCTGGAGATTTTCTTATCTCAGAGATGCAGCAGCCCAGGAGCAAACTGTGGAGAGAAAGATGCCTGGAGTTCCTGACAGACCGGCCTGTGTGTGTGGGGGGGGGGGGTGCGTGTGTGTGCATGTGTGTGTGAGTGTGTGTGCGTATGTGCGTGTGTGTGTGTGAGTGTGCGTGTTTGTGTGTTCGTGAGTTTGTTTATATTACCTTTTGGGTTTTCGTGACATGTACAGTGTTGTGGGGACCCGCTGCTCCTTGTGGGGACCGAAGCCTGGTCCCCTCAGGGAAAATGTATTTTAGTCAGGGTTCAGATTTAGGACCAACACGTGAATTAAGTTCTGATTAAGGTTAAGGGTAAGGTTTAGGCTGTAGAAATTAATGGAAATCAATGGAAAGTCCCACAAATGGCCACGCAAACATGTTTCATTTTACATAGAAACCTAAATACAAAACTAATGTCAAATTTTTGGGCGTTCTCGTTGTCTTTTGCCAATCAATAAAGTTTATTTGTATACCACATTTCACCAAATGAAATCCGTCCAAAGACTTTTACATTATTAAAAAACAAATGCCATAAAAACAGAGCAATTATAAATATAATCAATAATCTTCAGTATTATGTTGATCAATGTTTAATTGTTCATGGCTCAAAAGAACTTTAAACTGGTGGGTTTTAGCCTTGATTTAAAGAAACTGATTGCTTTGCCTGGGTTGCACTTTGCTGGAGGTTTGCGGTGCATAGAAGCTGATTGCTGCTGGTCCATGTTCGCTTCTGTTTCTGGATGCAGAGAAGAATCAGAACCACAACCTGAGAGATCTGAAGGTTGATCCAGCAGCAGCACATCTTTGATCTGTTCAGTAATTTATAAACGACCAGCTGGAGTTTAAAGTCTGTTATCTCAGTAAAGGACTGTAGAACTGGGTGAAGTTGTGCGGTTGATGTAGACCTTGGTGATGTAGAGCTGGTTGAAATAGAACTGGTTGGTGTAGAATTGAGTCACGTAAAACTAGTCATTAATTTCCACTTCTAGATGTGATGACCATGTGAATTATTGTCCTTTGAGTTCTCCCAGTTTCAGTTCGTAGTGGTCCCAGTGACTTCTACATAACCTGCTAGGTAAGTTTTCATATAAGCATCTAAGAGCCACTCAGTTATGGGAACATTCAGTTTGTTTTTACCAACATTTCACTGAAGGTGAAAAAACAAAAAGTCATTCATGGATCTATTTGTTACAAACTACAAACACTGATAAGGGTTGCATGCTAACAGTTTGCCAGCAGAGTTCAGTTACCAGCCTGGCTCCTGTGAAGTGAGAGGAATACATTATTAACCTTAAAAACTGAATTATTTAATGTAAGGCCACAAACATATTCCTCTCTGAATTTTCTCTTATTTTGGGTGAAGTAGTTTACCAAAAGAAGCAGTTTAACAAAAAGGCTGTCATTAATCTTTATATTACAGAAATGAAAATAAAAATATTTTCAAACTAACTCTATTACTTTATTTATTATGTTTAATTGCAATTCAGATTATTTTCATTCAGCTTCTTGAGGGAGCTAAGATTCTTCCAGGTTTGCAGCAGAATGCTGCAGATCTTCTCTCAGTCTGTTGCCCTCTGCGTCATCTGTTGGGGCAGCAGCATCAGAGCCTTCGTCGGCATCCTGAAGAAGAAGGCGACTTCTGCTTCTATTCTGGGCACAACTGGGGAACATCTGGACATAATAAAGACGATGAGGCACAGGATTATTTATAAAATCAAGAAAAATATTGACAACTCTGACAACCTTTTCTGACTGTCTTGGGGAAAAAGTGTCTTCAGTCAGAATGCACCAATAAAGTATTTCTGAATTTTAACTTAGAAGATTGGAACCTGTTTTTGATTTATGCATAGAAATTTGAGGCATGTGGTTCTTGATTTAAGTGCTTGATGGGTTGAGCTGCTTTAACTAATCTGTAAATGTTCAAAACAAAGGATGCACTTTTTGATGCAACTTAAAATATGTTTGGCTAAGTGCAGTCCATTTACAAGCTTTTTGAAGTATTGGTACTAATTAGATTTTACAGTGTAGATGATAACTGCTTTTGGCAGAAGAGATCTCTTGTAGCAGTCAGTGTTACAGTGAGCCTGGAGAAGCCTCTGACAAAGACAGTGTCATGAAGAGATCGGTCAGGGTTTTCAAAGTCTGAAGAAATTATAATTTTTCGATTATCATGACTTTTACATTTAAAACCAAAAATGGATGAAAGGAAGGAAAAACGCCTTTAACAAATAAACAAATAAAAATAAAAACTGAATTTAGACCAGATAATTTTTTAATGTTTAATGAAAACACTAATATTTTGTATTAATTTGCTAATTTAATATCCTGGATTTGTTAATCAGGCTAAAGAACAAAGTGAATAAAGCTGCTACTGATGGATTTTTGTTTAGAAGAGACACAACATTAAAATGAGCAAAAATAGCATCCATAAAGTTGTTGTTTGTGTTGCACCAACTTGTTGAAGCTGTTCCTGTTTTGAGAAAGATTTTTGTGAAGTGAGAGCCTGAACTCACCGTAACAAATATATTCCACCTCCAGGTACTTGTAGGTCCCATAGCAGGGATCTCCCAACACATAGTTCCTGGCTTTGACTTTACACCACTGTTTCCCGTTGCACCTGTGGATTCGGGTCAAAGTCAGCGATTTGCCTTTCTTAGACCTCCTCATTCACATCCAGTTTGATAAACCTTCAGGAAACACTGAAGCTCTGTACCTCTCACCAACTTTCCCTGCGTCTGTGGAGCACTCGGTGTTCTTTGACTGGTCAGCAGGTCTCCCAGCGCTGCACCTCTTCTTGTCAGTGCGTCCATATGTAGCACTGGTCACATAGATAGCCTGACCTTCTTCTGCCAGAGCCAAGAGGAAATGTTGAAAACCTGAATGTATTCATGGTGTAATGCTCCAGAACTGACCAGTGAAACCAGTGACCTTACCACAGTAGAGTCGAGCCACTGTTCCCTCACATGCCACGAGGGATTTTTCCTCTGGGAGGGATTCTGCATATGAGACATTCAGATCATATTAATATCAGGACACGGAAAAGTCCAAATTGTGTTTAGCAGTTTTAGATCCAATAAATGATGAACGTTCAACATCAGCCTTCATGCCCAGCTTGTCTTCATACTGAAACCTGCAGCGCCACCTTGTGAACTCCAAACACCAGAAACATTAAAGCACAAACCTCCTGATGAACTTTTCCCCTGTTAATTAAAAGAGACCGATATAAAAAATAATTACTTTTGAAAAACATTTTTGTCTTCAAAGTTTTTAGAGTTGATAAAGTTATCATCGTTTATCTGCAGTTCATACAGACACATTTCAGTGTTTCACTGCCTGTTTCACATATGGACAAAATAAAGAGATAAAAACACTAAAAGTACATTAATAACAACTGATTTTCTAAACAGCAAACAGAAGAGAAAGATTTCACTCACATTTACTTTGAGCATGAATCCACAAAGGAACAAAGTAAAAAGAACAAATTTCATCTGTATGGAGATAAGAAACATCAGTAACTCTGAGATAAAACTGAAAATATTAGATGATTTTCTATATTTTTAACAAGCTGCTGAACCAAATGATACATTTCATCCATCGATACGAACATGATGGAAACAAGTTGTTATGTTTCTGACAATCAGAACTAGATTTTATCATAAAATATATCAGAAGAACAGAATTGTAAGCAGGTTTTAGTTTTGGGTTTGATGAGTCAAATTTTACCTTGTGATGAAGAATCAAAGCAGCAGCAGCAGAAACCAGGTTCACTGGAAGCAGTGTGCCTTCAACCAGGGAATGGAGGGTTTAAATACCTTCACTGATGATCTGACAGAGGAACAAAATGTCTTTATCCAGGCAACAATTCATCCTGTTGAGGTTCTCAGACCAGAAGTCCAGGCTGGTAATGGGTGACGTAGGGATGTGTCAGGTTAACTGTTTGGATCAGCTGTTCTTGAACGTCAACTTTTTTCTCTGTCAGGACAGAGCCAATGTACAACAGTATATTGGGTGCAATGTACAGTTGAAATGTACATCAGTACTTCAACAATGTTCTCAGTCTGCTAAACTATCTTGCATTACTTCCTTCAAGAATCAGGCTGCTTTTGAATTTGAAGAGGATTTACTAAAGAAAAGTGTGAAATTGAAATGAGATAAAACACTGACAAATACACCAAATACAGTAAAATAAATATAATAGCTTATAAGGTTAATTTAAACTTGTAATTCCCCTTAGATAAAGTTAGATAAGGCTGAAATATGTTCATGTTCAGACATGTTGCTGGCCAACATAAATGCAAATTTGACTCTTGCCAAACTTTGCAGAATGACTCAGGCTGACATGTCCCACTACTGGGAGCAATTTAGTTAGGATTTAGCACGATACCGATGTTTATGTGATGTACAAATTTGTGAAAAAACACAGAGTGAAGCATGTTCTTTCCTGTTCAGACTGGAAACCGTTTTTTAACTGTCTTCATAGTTTGTAAGGAGTTTGTCAAAATTTTCACCCCATCAGGCTGTAGCGAACAAAGGCAAACTGAGCAACATGTAAATGCAAGTCAGGTTTATTGATGAAAGTTGAAATAAAAGCAAAAGGATGAAGATTGGGGAAGAAAAACAAATAAATGTACAGAAAACTAGAAGACACTGAAGAGAGATGAAGCTGCACATCAGTGGATCACAAGGTCTGTAGATGTAGAAGGAGCCGCTTGGGCTGGTGATCCACATTAGTGTCATGTGGATGCATTTCATCCTCAGCACATCAGATCTGATGGTCGTTTCATTCAATTTCATATTTACCTGAAACCACATAAATATCAACAATATAATCTCAGCAGAATGCAGTTTAGACATCAGGAAGTAAAATATCACCAGTTCTAAACCTGCAACAAGGCATTTGGAGACTCAAGGCTGGTTTTCTGGCTTTGATGCAAAAATTAAATGTATTCTTTCTAAATAAATGCAGAAAGACCCAGGCTGGGATTCAAACCCAGGACCTTGTTGCTGCAATTCATTAGTGCTACTGACTGCGTTACTGAGCTGGACTGGAACATTACAGCTGATGAGGGAAAAGTTTTAACGATACTGCAGAGTTTGGACAAAACCTGCTCCACAGGATCAATATGCCAACCAAACTCCAAGTCTGGATATTTTATGTGATGCTAAATTTAAAAAAAGAAACAAATAACTGAATATGAAAAAATGGTACATGCAAATATGGATGAATTTAGAATCTTAAAAAATATTTCAGTTATTTAATTTGCCAATTGAATATCTGGATATTTTAATCAGGTTAAAAACAGAAGAACAGAACAGGTAAATTAAGCTGCTACTTATGGAGGTTTCTTAAAATAAAAGAAGAAAATTGAAATGAGTTGAAAAAACAAATGTGACATTAATGGTTTTCGATGTTCTTGAATTTTAGAAAGATATTAATGAAATTAAACCATAAACTCACTTTCACAACGATATAGCACCTCCACGTACTTGTAGGTCTCAGGACAGGGATCTCCGAACAAAGAACTACTGACTAAGAAGCTGCACTCCGATTTCCCATCACAGCTGTGGATTGACATCAAAGTCAGTTTACTAGAGATTGTGACATGGTGTTTCTTGGATTTCTTAATTAATATCCAGTTTGAAAAACCTTAAGGAAAGACTTAAACTCTGTACTTCTGAAACACATAATCTGCCCTCGTAGAACAACCAGTATTCTTTATCTTGTCGTAAGGTATCTCATAAGAGCACGTCGTCTGGTCACTACGTCCATATTTAGCACTCAGCAGATATATTGTCCATGTTCTGTTGGAAAACAGAAGAGGAAATGTTGGAAATCTGAATGTATTCATGCTGTAATGCTCCAGAACAACCAGTAAAACCAGTGACCTTACCACACCATATTTCAGCCAATGATTCCTCACATGCCACACGAAGAACTGTTATATGACAGATTCAGATCACACTAATATCAGACACTGAAAACTTCAGCTATCCATGATCTAATGCAAAACTTATGTTTAATAATTATAGATTCAATAATCTTGGCTTCATTCTAAAACTTGCAACACTACCTCTTGGGGTGAGAAAATCTGCCTGTTAAAAATAAAATTAATCACAAATTAATTAAAATCTGGTTAACAACTAAACAAAAAACTACAATTGCTAAATAAAACCAGTAAAATAATGTTTTTAACAATAGATATTCAAACCACAAAGAGAACAGAAGGTTTTCACTCACATTGATTTCCAGGATGAATCCACAGAGGAACAAAGTAAAAAGGATGAATTTCATCTGTATGAAAGCAGGAAACATTCAGTTACTCTGAGATATGACTGAGAAAAACTCAATGATTTTATGAAATATTTATAACAATCTGCTGAACTAAATGACATACATTTTAATTCATAAATATGAACATAAAAGCTTTTAGTAAGATTTAAACTTACTGTTCCTTCTTTGTACGCTTAAATCTCAGCATATCAAAAATGCAACTATAGGTTGACATCATCCAGTTTTAGTCAAATCTTACCTTGTGATGAAGAATCAAAGCAGCAGCAGGACTTTCTGGAAGCAATGTGTCTTCAACAGGGGAATGGAGGGTTTATAAACCTTCACTGATGATCTGGCAGGGGAAGAAAATATTTTACTCCTTCAACAATTCAGCCTGCTGAGTTTTTCTGATCAGAAGTTCAGGTTGGTGATGGGTGTGTCACACCTGAAGCCATTTCTCCTCATTCCTATTGATAAATCATTGATCATCTCTTTATAGCCCCCAGCCCAGCTCGCAGGTCACACCAGACTGAAAATGATGGGATGAAAAACCCAGTTGGGTTTTAGATACTGGCTGCAGCAGCCAGGTGGGATTTTCTGTTAACAAAGATTGTTGGCCTTGATGTGGACCGTGATTCTGTCAGCCGTCTTCTGCTCTCTCTTTCATACAGGAATCATAAACCATTGATGTCTTTGTCTATTTTACTCTTTTACTCTTTGAGTTTAATTAAAACCCTCCTTATCTCTTGTTTAACATGTTGGAGCTCACGATTCCTTCTGAATTTGCTTTTCTCAGTTTTGTCAGATTGTGGACAAATTTTAGTGTCATGTAAAGTTGATCCCAGTAAATACAAAATGTTGTTTTAAATGCTTAATTCATTTCAATCCTATGTATACAGTTTGTTGAAATATAGCTTTATTTATCATAGCCTGATGTAAATACATTTAGGAAGAGAGAAGAAATAAATCTTTGATATGTCAGTCTGGAAATGGTCAGCAAGTCGTTTCTAAGGCCTTGGGATTCTGGAAAAGCATAGAGAGAACCGTTATCTGTAAATGTGATGTGGGTGTTTCTGCACCAGAGTCTGTGCTGCTTTGTCTGGGACTGGAGGTTCATGTTTATGTTTATAATTATTTTTGTTGAATGAGATCCCCATAAGCATCAGCAACATGCTGTAAACTACAAAAGGATTAAAATATCTGGTGTGGATGGTGTGATATCTAATGATAAGAGTTCCTTCTCACAGACAAAATGTTTAAAGCAAACTTTTTAGGAAAATAAAGCATGGTTTGTTTAGCAACAGTATAAAATCCAACCGGTTTTTCAAACTACCACCTTAAGCATGATGTTAACATTCTAGGAAATAGAAAAAGGTTAGATAAGCTCTAATAATCAGAAAAGTGAAGAAGTAGCTTCAGGATTGACCACCTTCTGACCCGTCCCCTTATTCTCCCTGGTCACATGTAAAGTGGACCTGGCCATTCTGGACGTTACTTTAAAGATTCCTTGAGTTTTCCTTCAACTACTTGAGCTCCACAGTGAAGGAAAGGCTCTTAAACATTGCAAAGCCATTTACACACTCCTCCATCAACACAAGAAGCACAATCCTGAGTCATTGCCTTCAGCAAAACTAACAAGTCAGTCTTTTCTTCACTTTTCAGAGATGAGATTAAAATATCCAGATTAGTTTGTCCTCTGGAGATTTTCTTATCTTAATTTGCAGCAGCCCAGGAGCAAACTGTGGAGAGAAAGAGGCCTGGAGTTCCTGACAGACCGGCCTGTGTGTGTGTGTGTGGGGGGGGGGGGGGGGGGTGCGTGCGAGTGCATGTGTGTGAGTGTGTGTGCGTATGTGCGTGTGTGTGTGTGAGTGTGCGTATGTGTGTGTTCGTGAGTTTGTTTATATTACCTTTTGGGTTTTCGTGACATGTACAGTGTTGTGGGGACCCCGCTGCTCCTTGTGGGGACCGAAGCCTGGTCCCTCAGGGAAAATGCTGTATTTTAGTCAGGGTTCAGATTTAGGACCAACCGTGAATTAAGTTCTGATTAAGGTTAAGGGTAAGGTTTAGGCTGTAGAAATTAATGGAAATCAATGGAAAGTCCCCACAAAATGGCCACGCAAACATGTTTCATTTTACATAGAAACCTAAATACAAAACTAATGTCAAATTTTTGGGCGTTCTGTTGTCTTGCCCATCAATAAAGTTTATTTGTATACCACATTTCACCAAATGAAATTCGTCCAAAGACTTTTACATTATTAAAAAAAAAAAGCCAAAAAACAGAGCAATTATAAATATAATCAATAATCTTCAGTATTATGTTGATCAATGTTTAATTGTTCATGGCTCAAAGAACTTTAAACTGGTGGGTTTTAGCCTTGATTTAAAGAAACTGATTGCTTTGCCTGGGTTGCACTTTGCTGGAGGTTTGCGGTGCATAGAAGCTGATTGCTGCTGGTCCATGTTCGCTTCTGTTTCTGGATGCAGAGAAGAATCAGAACCACAACCTGAGAGATCTGAAGGTTGATCCAGCAGCAGCACATCTTTGATCTGTTCAGTAATTATAAACGACCAGCTGGAGTTTAAAGTCTGTTATCTCAGTAAAGGACTGTAGAACTGGGTGAAGTTGTGCGGTTGATGTAGACCTTGGTGATGTAGAGCTGGTTGAAATAGAACTGGTTGGTGTAGAATTGAGTCACGTAAACTAGTCATTAATTTCCACTTCTAGATGTGATGACCATGTGATTATTGTCCTTTGAGTCTCCCAGTTTCAGTTCGTAGTGGTCCCAGTGACTTCTACATAACCTGCTAGGTAAGTTTTCATATAAGCATCTAAGAGCCACTCAGTTATGGGAACATTCAGTTTGTTTTTACCAACATTTCACTGAAGGTGAAAAAACAAAAAGTCATTCATGGATCTATTTGTTACAAACTACAAACACTGATAAGGGTTGCATGCTAACAGTTTGCCAGCAGAGTTCAGTTACCAGCCTGGCTCCTGTGAAGTGAGAGGAATACATTATAACCTTAAAAACTGAATTATTTAATGTAAGGCCACAAACATATTCCTCTCTGAATTTTCTCTTATTTTGGGTGAAGTAGTTTACCAAGAAGCAGTTTAACAAAAAGCTGTCATTAATCTTTATATTACAGAAATGAAAATAAAAATATTTTCAAACTAACTCTATTACTTTATTTATTATGTTTAATTGCAATTCAGATTATTTTCATTCAGCTTCTTGAGGGAGCTAAGATTCTTCCAGGTTTGCAGCAGAATGCTGCAGATCTTCTCTCAGTCTGTTGCCCTCTGCGTCATCTGTTGGGGCAGCAGCATCAGAGCCTTCGTCGGCATCCTGAAGAAGAAGGCGACTTCTGCTTCTATTCTGGGCACAACTGGGGAACATCTGGACATAATAAAGAGATGAGGCACAGGATTATTTATAAAATCAAGAAAAATATTGACAACTCTGACAACCTTTTCTGACTGTCTTGGGGAAAAAGTGTCTTCAGTCAGAATGCACCAATAAAGTATTTCTGAATTTTAACTTAGAAGATTGGAACCTGTTTTGATTTATGCATAGAAATTTGAGGCATGTGGTTCTTGATTTAAGTGCTTGATGGGTTGAGCTGCTTTAACTAATCTGTAAATGTTCAAAACAAAGGATGCACTTTTTGATGCAACTTAAAATATGTTTGGCTAAGTGCAGTCCATTTACAAGCTTTTTGAAGTATTGGTACTAATTAGATTTTACAGTGTAGATGATAACTGCTTTTGGCAGAAGAGATCTCTTGTAGCAGTCAGTGTTACAGTGAGCCTGGAGAAGCCTCTGACAAAGACAGTGTCATGAAGAGATCGGTCAGGGTTTTCAAAGTCTGAAGAAATTATAATTTTTCGATTATCATGACTTTTACATTTAAAAAAAAATGGATGAAAGGAAGGAAAAACGCCTTTAACAAATAAACAAATAAAAATAAAAACTGAATTTAGACCAGATAATTTTTTAATGTTTAATGAAAACACTAATATTTTGTATTAATTTGCTAATTTAATATCCTGGATTTGTTAATCAGGCTAAAGAACAAAGTGAATAAAGCTGCTACTGATGGATTTTTGTTTAGAAGAGACACAACATTAAAATGAGCAAAAATAGCATCCATAAAGTTGTTGTTTGTGTTGCACCAACTTGTTGAAGCTGTTCCTGTTTTGAGAAAGATTTTTGTGAAGTGAGAGCCTGAACTCACCGTAACAAATATATTCCACCTCCAGGTACTTGTAGGTCCCATAGCAGGGATCTCCCAACACATAGTTCCTGGCTTTGACTTTACACCACTGTTTCCCGTTGCACCTGTGGATTCGGGTCAAAGTCAGCGATTTGCCTTTCTTAGACCTCCTCATTCACTCATTCACATCCAGTTTGATAAACCTTCAGGAAACACTGAAGCTCTGTACCTCTCACCAACTTTCCCTGCGTCTGTGGAGCACTCGGTGTTCTTTGGCTGGTCAGCAGGTCTCCCAGCGCTGCACCTCTTCTTGTCAGTGCGTCCATATGTAGCACTGGTCACATAGATAGCCTGACCTTCTTCTGCCAGAGCCAAGAGGAAATGTTGAAAACCTGAATGTATTCATGGTGTAATGCTCCAGAACCGACCAGTGAAACCAGTGACCTTACCACAGTAGAGTCGAGCCACTGTTCCCTCACATGCCACGAGGGATTTTTCCTCTGGGAGGGATTCTGCATATGAGACATTCAGATCATATTAATATCAGGACACGGAAAAGTCCAAATTGTGTTTAGCAGTTTTAGATCCAATAAATGATGAACGTTCAACATCAGCCTTCATGCCCAGCTTGTCTTCATACTGAAACCTGCAGCGCCACCTTGTGAACTCCAAACACCAGAAACATTAAAGCACAAACCTCCTGATGAACTTTTCCCCTGTTAATTAAAAGAGACCGATATAAAAAATAATTACTTTTGAAAAACATTTTTGTCTTCAAAGTTTTTAGAGTTGATAAAGTTATCATCGTTTATCTGCAGTTCATACAGACACATTTCAGTGTTTCACTGCCTGTTTCACATATGGACAAAATAAAGAGATAAAAACACTAAAAGTACATTAATAACAACTGATTTTCTAAACAGCAAACAGAAGAGAAAGATTTCACTCACATTTACTTTGAGCATGAATCCACAAAGGAACAAAGTAAAAAGAACAAATTTCATCTGTATGGAGATAAGAAACATCAGTAACTCTGAGATAAAACTGAAAATATTAGATGATTTTCTATATTTTTAACAAGCTGCTGAACCAAATGATACATTTCATCCATCCATACGAACATGATGGAAACAAGTTTTTATGTTTCTGACAATCAGAACTAGATTTTATCATAAAATATATCAGAAGAACAGAATTGTAAGCAGGTTTTAGTTTTGGGTTTGATGAGTCAAATTTTACCTTGTGATGAAGAATCAAAGCAGCAGCAGCAGAAACCAGGTTCACTGGAAGCAGTGTGCCTTCAACCAGGGAATGGAGGGTTTAAATACCTTCACTGATGATCTGACAGAGGAACAAAATGTCTTTATCCAGGCAACAATTCATCCTGTTGAGTTCTCAGACCAGAAGTCCAGGCTGGTAATGGGTGACGTAGGGATGTGTCAGGTTAACTGTTTGGATCAGCTGTTCTTGAACGTCAACTTTTTTCTCTGTCAGGACAGAGCCAATGTACAACAGTATATTGGGTGCAATGTACAGTTGAAATGTACATCAGTACTTCAACAATGTTCTCAGTCTGCTAAACTATCTTGCATTACTTCCTTCAAGAATCAGGCTGCTTTTGAATTTGAAGAGGATTTACTAAAGAAAAGTGTGAAATTGAAATGAGATAAAACACTGACAAATACACCAAATACAGTAAAATAAATATAATAGCTTATAAGGTTAATTTAAACTTGTAATTCCCCTTAGATAAAGTTAGATAAGGCTGAAATATGTTCATGTTCAGACATGTTGCTGGCCAACATAAATGCAAATTTGACTCTTGCCAAACTTTGCAGAATGACTCAGGCTGACATGTCCCACTACTGGGAGCAATTTAGTTAGGATTTAGCACGATACCGATGTTTATGTGATGTACAAATTTGTGAAAAAACACAGAGTGAAGCATGTTCTTTCCTGTTCAACTGGAAACCGTTTTTTAACTGTCTTCATAGTTTGTAAGGAGTTTGTCAAAATTTTCACCCCATCAGGCTGTAGCGAACAAAGGCAAACTGAGCAACATGTAAATGCAAGTCAGGTTTATTGATGAAAGTTGAAATAAAAGCAAAAGGATGAAGATTGGGGAAGAAAAACAAATAAATGTACAGAAAACTAGAAGACACTGAAGAGAGATGAAGCTGCACATCAGTGGATCACAAGGTCTGTAGATGTAGAAGGAGCCGCTTGGGCTGGTGATCCACATTAGTGTCATGTGGATGCATTTCATCCTCAGCACATCAGATCTGATGGTCGTTTCATTCAATTTCATTTACCTGAAACCACATAAATATCAACAATATAATCTCAGCAGAATGCAGTTTAGACATCAGGAAGTAAAATATCACCAGTTCTAAACCTGCAACAAGGCATTTGGAGACTCAAGGCTGGTTTTCTGGCTTTGATGCAAAAATTAAATGTATTCTTTCTAAATAAATGCAGAAAGACCCAGGCTGGGATTCAAACCCAGGACCTTGTTGCTGCAATTCATTAGTGCTACTGACTGTGTTACTGAGCTGGACTGGAACATTACAGCTGATGAGGGAAAAGTTTTAATGATACTGCAGAGTTTGGACAAAACCTGCTCCACAGGATCAATATGCCAACCAAACTCCAAGTCTGGATATTTTATGTGATGCTAAATTTAAAAAAAGAAACAAATAACTGAATATGAAAAAATGGTACATGCAAATATGGATGAATTTAGAATCTTAAAAAATATTTCAGTTATTTAATTTGCCAATTGAATATCTGGATATTTTAATCAGGTTAAAAACAGAAGAACAGAACAGGTAAATTAAGCTGCTACTTATGGAGGTTTCTTAAAATAAAAGAAGAAAATTGAAATGAGTTGAAAAAACAAATGTGACATTAATGGTTTTCGATGTTCTTGAATTTTAGAAAGATATTAATGAAATTAAACCATAAACTCACTTTCACAACGATATAGCACCTCCACGTACTTGTAGGTCTCAGGACAGGGATCTCCGAACAGAGAACTACTGACTAAGAAGCTGCACTCCGATTTCCCATCACAGCTGTGGATTGACATCAAAGTCAGTTTACTAGAGATTGTGACATGGTGATTCTTGGATTTCTTAATTAATATCCAGTTTGAAAAACCTTAAGGAAAGACTTAAACTCTGTACTTCTGAAACACATAATCTGCCCTCGTAGAACAACCAGTATTCTTTATCTTGTCGTAAGGTATCTCATAAGAGCACGTCGTCTGGTCACTACGTCCATATTTAGCACTCAGCAGATATATTGTCCCATGTTCTGTTGGAAAACAGAAGAGGAAATGTTGGAAATCTGAATGTATTCATGCTGTAATGCTCCAGAACAACCAGTAAAACCAGTGACCTTACCACACCATATTCAGCCAATGATTCCTCACATGCCACACGAAGAACTGTTATATGACAGATTCAGGTCACACTAATATCAGACACTGAAAACTTCAGCTATCCATCATCTAATGCAAAACTTATGTTTAATAATTATAGATTCAATAATCTTGGCTTCATTCTAAAACTTGCAACACTACCTCTTGGGGTGAGAAAATCTGCCTGTTAAAAAATAAAATTAATCACAAATTAATTAAAATCTGGTTAACAACTAAACAAAAAACTACAATTGCTAAATAAAACCAGTAAAATAATGTTTTTAACAACAGATATTCAAACCACAAAGAGAACAGAAGGTTTTCACTCACATTGATTTCCAGGATGAATCCACAGAGGAACAAAGTAAAAAGGATGAATTTCATCTGTATGAAAGCAGGAAACATTCAGTTACTCTGACATATGACTGAGAAAAACTCAATGATTTTATGAAATATTTATAACAATCTGCTGAACTAAATGACATACATTTTAATTCATAAATATGAACATAAAAGCTTTTAGTAAGATTTAAACTTACTGTTCCTTCTTTGTACGCTTAAATCTCAGCATATCAAAAATGCAACTATAGGTTGACATCCAGTTTTAGTCAAATCTTACCTTGTGATGAAGAATCAAAGCAGCAGCAGGACTTTCTGGAAGCAATGTGTCTTCAACAGGGGAATGGAGGGTTTATAAACCTTCACTGATGATCTGGCAGGGGAAGAAAATATTTTACTCCAACAATTCAGCCTGCTGAGTTTGTCTGACCAGAAGTTCAGGTTGGTGATGGGTGTGTCACACCTGAAGCCATTTCTCCTCATTCCTATTGATAAATCATTGATCATCTCTTTATAGCCCCCAGCCCAGCTCGCAGGTCACACCAGACTGAAAATGATGGGATGAAAAACCCAGTTGGGTTTTAGATACTGGCTGCAGCAGCCAGGTGGGATTTTCTGTTAACAAAGATTGTTGGCCTTGATGTGGACCGTGATTCTGTCAGCCGTCTCCATCTGCTCTCTGGTTTCATACAGGAATCATAAACCATTGATGTCTTTATCAGCTCTATGAAATCCCAGTCATTTTACTCTTGGATGAGTTTAATACATAAAACCCTCCTAATATCTCTGGAAACATGTTGGAGCTCACGATTCCTTCTGAATTTGCTTTTCTCAGTTTTGTCAGATTGTGGACAAATTTTAGTGTCATGTAAAGTTGATCCCAGTAAATACAAAATGTTGTTTAAATGCTTAATTCATTTCAATTCTGTGTATACAGTTTGTTGAAATATAGCTTTATTTATCATAGCCTGATGTAAATACATTTAGGAAGAGAGAAGAAATAAATCTTTGATATTTCAGTCTGGAAATGGTCAGCAAGTCGTTTCTAAGGCCTTGGGATTCTGGAAAAGCATAGAGAGAACCGTTATCTGTAAATGTGATGTGGGTGTTTCTGCACAGAGTCTGTGCTGCTTTGTCTGGGACTGGAGGTTCATGTTTATGTTTATAATTATTTTTGTTGAATGAGATCCCCATAAGCATCAGCAACATGCTGTAAACTACAAAAGGATTAAAATATCTGGTGTGGATGGTGTGATATCTAATGATAAGAGCTCCTTCTCACAGACAAAATGTTTAAAGCAAACTTTTTAGGAAAATAAAGCATCGGTTTGTTTAGCAACAGTATAAAATTCAACCGGTTTTTCCAAACTACCACCTTAAGCATGATGTTAACATTCTAGGAAATAGAAAAAGGTTAGATAAGCTCTAATAATCAGAAATGTGAAGAAGTAGCTTCAGGATTGACCACCTTCTGACCCGTCCCCTTATTCTCCCTGGTCACATGTAAAGTGGACCTGGCCATTCTGGACGTTACTTTAAAGATTCCTTGGAGTTTTCCTTCAACTACTTGAGCTCCTCAGTGAAGGAAAGGCTCTTAAACATTGCAAAGCCATTTACACACTCCTCCATCAACACAAGAAGCACAATCCTGAGTCATTGCCTTCAGCAAAACTAACAAGTCAGTCTTTTCTTCACTTTTCAGAGATGAGATTAAAATATCCAGATTAGTTTGTCCTCTGGAGATTTTCTTATCTTAATTATGCAGCAGCCCAGGAGCAAACTGTGGAGAGAAAGAGGCCTGGAGTTCCTGACAGACCGGCCTGTGTGTGTGTGTGTTTGGGGGGGGTGCGTGCGTGTGCATGTGTGTGTGCGTGTGTGCGTATGTGCGTGTGTGCGTGTCAGTGTGCGTGTGTGTGTGTTCGTGAGTTTGTTTATATTACCTTTTGGGTTTTCGTGACATGTACAGTGTTGTGGGGACCCGCTGCTCCTTGTGGGGACCGAAGCCTGGTCCCCTCAGGGAAAATGCTGTATTTTAGTCAGGGTTCAGATTTAGGACCAACGCGTGAATTAAGTTCTGATTAAGGTTAAGGGTAAGGTTTAGGTTGTAAAATTAATGGAAATCAATGGAAAGTCCCCACAAAATGGCAATGCAACATGTTTCATTTTACATAGAAACCTAAATACAAAACTAATGTCAAATTTTTGGGCGTTCTCGTTGTCTATTGCCCATCAATAAAGTTTATTTGTATACCACATTTCACCAAATGAAATCCATCCAAAGACTTTTACATTATTAAAAAACAAAAAGCCATAAAAACAGAGCAATTATAAATATAATCAATAATCTTCAGTATTATGTTGATCAATGTTTAATTGTTCATGGCTCAAAGGAACTTTAAACTGGTGGGTTTTAGCCTTGATTTAAAGAAACTGATTGCTTTGCCTGGGTTGCTTTGCTGGAGGTTTGCGGTGCATAGAAGCTGATTGCTGCTGGTCCATGTTCGCTTCTGTTTCTGGATGCAGAGAAGAATCAGAACCACAACCTGAGAGATCTGAAGGTTGATCCAGCAGCAGCACATCTTTGATCTGTTCAGTAATTTATAAACGACCAGCTGGAGTTTAAAGTCTGTTATCTCAGTAAAGGACTGTAGAACTGGGTGAAGTTGTGCGGTTGATGTAGACCTTGGTGATGTAGAGCTGGTTGAAATAGAACTGGTTGGTGTAGAATTGAGTCACGTAAAACTAGTCATTAATTTCCTTCTAGATGTGATGACCATGTGAATTATTGTCCTTTGAGTTCTCCCAGTTTCAGTTCGTAGTGGTCCCAGTGACTTCTACATAACCTGCTTGGTAAGTTTTCATATAAGCATCTAAGAGCCACTCAGTTATGGGAACATTCAGTTTGTTTTTACCAACATTTCACTGAAGGTGAAAAAACAAAAAGTCATTCATGGATCTATTTGTTACAAACTACAAACACTGATAAGGGTTGCATGCTAACAGTTTGCCAGCAGAGTTCAGTTACCAGCCTGGCTCCTGTGAAGTGAGAGGAATACATTATTAACCTTAAAAACTGAATTATTTAATGTAAGGCCACAAACATATTCCTCTCTGAATTTTCTCTTATTTTGGGTGAAGTAGTTTACCAAGAGAAGCAGTTTGACAAAAAGGCTGTCATTAATCTTTATATTACAGAAATGAAAATAAAAATATTTTCAAACTAACTCTATTACTTTATTTATTATGTTTAATTGCAATTCAGATTATTTTCATTCAGCTTCTTGAGGGAGCTAAGATTCTTCCAGGTTTGCAGCAGAATGCTGCAGATCTTCTCTCAGTCTGTTGCCCTCTGCGTCATCTGTTGGGGCAGCAGCATCAGAGCCTTCGTCGGCATCCTGAAGAAGAAGGCGACTTCTGCTTCTATTCTGGGCACAACTGGGGAACATCTGGACATAATAAAGACGATGAGGCACAGGATTATTTATAAAATCAAGAAAAATATTGACAACTCTGACAACCTTTTCTGACTGTCTTGGGGAAAAAGTGTCTTCAGTCAGAATGCACCAATAAAGTATTTCTGAATTTTAACTTAGAAGATTGGAACCTGTTTTTGATTTATGCATAGAAATTTGAGGCATGTGGTTCTTGATTTAAGTGCTTGATGGGTTGAGCTGCTTTAACTCATCTGTAAATGTTCAAAACAAAGGATGCACTTTTTGATGCAACTTAAAATATGTTTGGCTAAGTGCAGTCCATTTACAAGCTTTTTGAAGTATTGGTACTAATTAGATTTTACAGTGTAGATAACTGCTTTTGGCAGAAGAGATCTCTTGTAGCAGTCAGTGTTACAGTGAGCCTGGAGAAGCCTCTGACAAAGACAGTGTCATGAAGAGATCGGTCAGGGTTTTCAAAGACTGAAGAAATTATAATTTTTCGATTATCATGACTTTTACATTTAAAACCACAAATGGATGAAAGGAAGGAAAAACGCCTTTAACAAATAAACAAATAAAAATAAAAACTGAATTTAGACCAGATAATTTTTTAATGTTTAATGAAAACACTAATATTTTGTAAGAGGCCTGGAGTTCCTGACAGACTGGCCTGTGTGTGTGTGTGTGTGTGTGTGTGTGTGTGTGTGTGTGTGTGTGTGTGTGTGTGTGTGTGTGTGTGTGTGTGTGTGTGTGTGTGTGTGTGTGTGTGTGTTTATGTTGTATTGGAGCCTAAAGTGATGCTAATCTCTGGTTACTGGTTGTTTTCATCCAGCCAACGATTCATCCTGCTGAGATTCTCAGACCAGAAGTCCAGGCTGGTCATGGGTGAGGTAGGTATGTGTCAGGTTTGATCATATTATGGAAATATTTCAGTGCTGTGCTTAGATGATTCAAGAAACTGTAAAATATTGCTTTAAATGGTATACATTTGACAGTATGAATTTATTTTTAGTTTCCATGTTTTTGATTCGGTTTCACTAGCAACATTTAGGGTAAAGTGCAGCCAAACTGAAGAAGTAGATTACTGGTAGGGGCCAGATGCATTCTGGGAAACAACAATGTAGATATAGTTTGGTCTTTTCACATGTCAGATGTCAGATACCCAGACAGAAGCTGGTTATCTACTGTCCAGCAGTGTACTGTTGTTGTTGTTCTTGTTGTCCAGTTGGTTTCATGGTTATCAGCCGTTGTGATGATGTAGAGAACTCTCTGTTTGGATCAGCTGTTCTTGAATGTCAACTTTTTTCTCTGTCAGGACAGAGCCAATGTGCAACAGTATATTGGGTGCAATGTACTGTTGAAATGTACATCAGTACTTTATTGATGTTCTCAGTCTGCTAAACTGTGTTGCAATACTTCTTTCAAGGAACAGGCCACTTTTGCATTTGAAGAGAATTTAATACAGGAAAGTGTGAAATTGAGATGAGACAAAACATAAAAATACTCCAAATACAAATCCTATTATGGTCAAATTGTTTGGAAGCTCCATCACTACCTGCAAGTCCCTTCCTTTCCTCAATAGATGTTCTCAGAGAGCAGGATGGGAGTCGAGCCTCCCTGAATTTCTCCCACACACCTGCGAGTAATCATCTTTCATTAGGTGGAGCATAATAGCCTGTGGCCTATTCTCTGACACCAGAGTGCTCGCCTATGTAACTCCAGCCCCTCTGAACCTCAGGTCTTTGTCTGAAGTCTTTTTAGTTGTTCTCAACCAAGTTTGGGTTCTGCCTTACTAGGTACGCTGTTACGCAGGATTCTACCGAGATCATGGATTCTTTCCTCTGGTTCGGAGTGATATCCACAGCGGTCTATACCCTGCAGCTTCCCCAGTTGGTCCCAGCTGCACCGTTCGTCCTCTTATTCCCACGTCCCCCCTTCCGAGTGAATTGCTCCTCCAGCACTATATTCTGAGCCCATCTCCCAGTAGGTTTTGTTTCATTGTTGGGCACTCTTGTTAATACGCTGTCGCACTATTGTAAAGAAAGCGAAAGTGCTGCTTTTATCTCCAGATGATGTTTCTGCATGTAGGTTAAACCGATTTCCAAAAGCATGGCAGAATACGCTGGCCAATACGACCCAGTAGATGCCCTCAGGAGAACAACGCAGAACAGCACTGTCTGATCGAGTCGCATGACGCCATACTGAGAACTCTTGGCAAGTGGCAAGAAGCTACTAATCAAACCCTGGAGCAGGTAGCTCAACTATTGCTGAGGTCACAGCCCAAGAAACCAACTTTCCCCTGTGGAAGATCTACCGGCCACCCAGCAGCTTTCCACTTCACGAGATGTCAGTTCACCTAACCCCGAGAAATTCTCAGGTGATGCGGGCAGCTCTGGAGGATTTCTTACAATGCTTGCTTGTATTTAACCGCTCCCCAAATTTCTTCCCACATGAGGATGCGGGAAGGAAGATCTAATTTCTTCTTGGGCTTCTATCTCAGAAAACGCTAAGATGGGCCAAGACACACATCACTGACTATTCCAGTTTTGGTTCCACTTTCAAGCAAGTCATTGAAGAGTTTAAATCGGTCGTTAATGAGGATGCTGATCAGGTAGGTGTAGCCCACTGTTAGTTGTCCTTGAAGCAGGGACAAAGATCAGTGGCAGAGTTTTCCATTGAATTTTGTACCCTAGTCACGTCCTCAGGCTGGAATGCCGGTGCATTAAAGAGCCTTTTTTCATGCTCTCAACAAGCCCATAAATGGCGAGTTGGTGCAGTAGACGAATCCAAATCATTAAACGAGCTGATAACCCTTGCAACCTGCCTGGACAACCGTATAAGAGAAAGAAGGACGTAGAGAAGTACAAGGAGCTTGGAACGACCTCTGTTACTACCACCTCCTATGGCACCTGCACTCAGACTCCCTAGTTCTCAGTCACCAGAACCAGAACCGATGTAGATAGGCCGGACCCACCTCTCTCCGGAGGAATGGCAGCAGAGAATGGTGGCTGGCCAATGCCTAACTTTGTTGGTGGTTTTTGTGCAGAATTCCTTCCCGCCATTCTGGACTTTAATAATGATTCACTTCTCCTCACTGCATTAGAGGTGAAGTGATCCATTCTACAATTGAATAGATCAAGCTTTCATTTCCCAGGCCAAAGCATGGTTTTCACATTGTCTCTCCTCCTGTCTGCAGTCTGTCGCCCCACCAAGTCCCGCTCTGGCAGCCAGTCATGAGGCAAACCCGATCAATCTAACAGGCACCCGCAAAGTTTACCATTATGTCAAGGAGGTCTTCTGCAAGGACAAGGCTCTTTCCGTCCCTCCGCACCACTCATATGACTCCTCCATCTAGCCATTTGTATATTATCTCACAACCTGAATGTCAGGCGATGAATACATAAATGAGACCATCACTGCCGGTATAATCCGTTCTTCATCTTCCCTGTTTGGAGCGGGCTTATTCTTTGTCAGCAAGAAGGACTGCTCCCTCCGACCCTGTACAGATTAAAATAGCTTAAATAGTATCACCATAAAGAATAAATACCCCCTCCCACTCATCTCAGCATTAGAACTGGTTCAGGAGACCATCATCTTCACCAAGCATCACCTCCGTAATGCCTATCACCTTATCTGTATTTGCCACGGAGATGAGTGGAAGGTAGCATTCAAGACCCCGATCGGCCATTTAGAGTATCTGGTGATGCCTTTTGGACGATGTAACTCAGCAGCAGCGTTCCTAGCCCTCATTGACGACGTCCTCTGTGACTTTCTCAACATATTTGTCTTTGTTTATCTCGATGACATACTTATCTACTGTAAGAGCCCAGAGCAGCATGACAGACGTATATCTTGTTCTGCAGTGCCTCCAGGAGAATCGCTTCTTTGTAAAGGCAGAGAGGTGCAAGTTTCACCTTCCTTCGGTGTCTTATCTGGGAAACATCCTGGAGGGGGCGCAGGTTTGATCAGACCCTGAAAGGTTAAGAGTAGTTGTAGACAGTCCCCATCCCAGGTTCTAGAAAGCAGCTGCAAAGATTTCTGGGTTTTGGTAATTTCTACTGCAGGTTTATCCACAAGGATAGCCTTACTGTTGCTCTTGTCACCACACTGACTTCACCAAAGGTCACCTTCTAATGGACTCCAGAAGCCGATCAGCTATTCAACGAGCTTAAGGTGAAGTTCTCCTGTGCCATAGTTCTGCCGCAGATATAATAAATAGTATAGGTCAGGGGCACTCCTGGTCCTCGATCACAACATCAAACATCACATTCACCATGTGATGTTTTAGGAATGTTTTAAAGTTTGGAGGTCAGATGAAGCATTTTTGTAAATAAGCCCCACAAACCTCAGCCATGACCGTATTAAATATGGAAGGTAAGACTTAAGGCATGACAGTATATGCAAAGTTTGGCAAAAATAAAATTGCCAGTTTTTGGGTGTAAACAATAAAACGTCCTGAAGGTGTCGCGTCTGGTTGGCGGCCATCTTGATCTGATCCAGATGATTTTTTGGCAGCGTTCTCACAGACATTCAACCAACTTCCTCCAAATGTTCCTTCCAGGTCAGACTGGAAACAGTTTTTTAACCGTCTTCATAATTTGGAAGGAGTTTGTCAAAGTTTTCACCCTATCAGGCTGTTTGTAGCGAACAAAGGCAAATTGAGCAAAATGTAAATGCATGTCAGGTTTATTGACGAAAGTTGGATGAAGATTGGGGAAGAAAAACAAATAAAATCTAAAGAAAACTAGAAGACACTGAAGAGAGATGAAGCTGCACATCAGTGGATCACAAGGTCTGTAGATGTTATTGATTGTGATGCATTTCATCCTCAGCACATCAGATCTGATGGTCGTTTTGGGAGAAATACGTGGTAATGGATCTGGAAAATATCAACAATATAATCTCAGCAGAATGCATTTTAGACATCAGAAAGTAAAATATCACCAGTTCTAAACCTGCAACAAGGCATTTGGAGACTCAAGGCTGGTTTTCTGGCTTTGATGCAAAAATTAAATGTATTCTTTCTAAATAAATGCAGAAAGACCCAGGCTGGGATTCAAACCCAGGACCTTGTTGCTGCAAGGCATTAGCGCTACTGACTGTGTTACTGAGCTGGACTGGAACATTACAGCTGATGAGGGAAAAGTTTTAACGATACTGCAGAGTTTGGACAAAACCTGCTCCACAGGATCAACATGGCAACCAAACTCTGGATATTTTATGATGTGATGCTACGTGTTTTATACAAAAAGGAAGAAATTAGAGGAATCAAAAAACAAGAATAAACAAATTAATAAATAAAATAAATACATAAAAAAAACTATATGAATGAAAATTAAAATGCAAAAATGTAACCTTGCTTATATGGATAAATGTAGAAAAAAAACTTATGTCAGTTAATTAATTTGCCAATTAAATATCTGGATTTGTTAATAAGGTTAAGAACATTAAAAATGAAGCTGTTATTGATGGAGTTTCCTTTTGATAAAGGAAGGCAATTTAAATCACCTGGATAAAACAAATGTGACATGAATGTTTTTCAATGTTGTTATTGAATATAAAAAGACTGCACTGAAGTTAGACCATAAACTCACTTTGACATATATAAAGCACCTCCAGGTACTTGTAGGTTCCAGGACAGGGATCTCCAAACACACAATTACTGGCTGAGAAGTACACTCCGATTCCGCCGCACATCTGTGGATCCAGATCAAAATCAGTTTTCTTGAAATTGTGATTTGTGTTTCTTGGATTTGTTAATTAATATTCTGTTTGAAAATCCTTTAACAAAGACTGAAGCTCTGTACCTCTCAAGTTCTGAAGCTCCATTCACAGAACAATTAGTATTCTTTGTGCGTTCGCCAGGAATAAATTGGGAGCACGTCGTCCGATCGCGGCGTCCATATCTAACGCTGATCAGAAATAGCGCCCCACTTGCTGTTGGAAGATAGAAGAGGAAATGTTGGAAATCTGAATGTATTCATGCTGTAATGCTCCAGACCAACCAGTAAAACCAGTGACCTTACCACACTTGATGTGACCAACTGATCCCTCACATGTCACATGGGACAATAGTTCAGCCAACGACCTTGATTCTGTGATAAGATTCAGATATTAATATCAGACACTGAAAAGTTCAGGATCTAATGAAAAATGTATGTTTCATAATTTTAGATTCAATGATCTTCATATTAAAACTTGCAACACTAACCTTTCGGTTTCTGAAAACCACGTCCTGCCTGTTAAAAAATAAATAAACAAAAGACAAAATTAATCACAAATGGAAACGACAGAAGATTTTTACTTCAAGCTTCTTGGAGCTGTAAGCATCAAACTAAAATCTGGTTAACAACTAAACAAAAAAACTACAATTGCTAAATAAAACCAGTAAAATAATGTTTTTAACAATAGATATTCAAACCACAAAGAGAACAGAAGGTTTTCACTCACATTGATTTCCAGGATGAATCCACAGAGGAACAAAGTAAAAAGGATGAATTTCATCTGTATGAAAGCAGGAAACATTCAGTTACTCTGAGATATGACTGAGAAAAACTCAATGATTTTATGAAATATTTATAACAATCTGCTGAACTAAATGACATACATTTTAATTCATAAATATGAACATAAAAGCTTTTAGTAAGATTTAAACTTACTGTTCCTTCTTTGTACGCTTAAATCTCAGCATATCAAAAATGCAACTATAGGTTGACATCATCCAGTTTTAGTCAAATCTTACCTTGTGATGAAGAATCAAAGCAGCAGCAGGACTTTCTGGAAGCAATGTGTCTTCAACAGGGGAATGGAGGGTTTATAAACCTTCACTGATGATCTGGCAGGGGAAGAAAATATTTTACTCCAACAATTCAGCCTGCTGAGTTTTTCTGATCAGAAGTTCAGGTTGGTGATGGGTGTGTCACACCTGAAGCCATTTCTCCTCATTCCTATTGATAAATCATTGATCATCTCTTTATAGCCCCAGCCCAGCTCGCAGGTCACACCAGACTGAAAATGATGGGATGAAAAACCCAGTTGGGTTTTAGATACTGGCTGCAGCAGCCAGGTGGGATTTTCTGTTAACAAAGATTGTTGGCCTTGATGTGGACCGTGATTCTGTCAGCCGTCTCCATCTGCTCTCTGGTTTCATACAGGAATCATAAACCATTGATGTCTTTATCAGCTCTATGAAATCCCAGTCATTTTACTCTTGGATGAGTTTAATACATAAAACCCTCCTAATATCTCTGGAAACATGTTGGAGCTCACGATTCCTTCTGAATTTGCTTTTCTCAGTTTTGTCAGATTGTGGACAAATTTTAGTGTCATGTAAAGTTGATCCCAGTAAATACAAAATGTTGTTTTAAATGCTTAATTCATTTCAATCCTATGTATACAGTTTGTTGAAATATAGCTTTATTTATCATAGCCTGATGTAAATACATTTAGGAAGAGAGAAGAAATAAATCTTTGATATTTCAGTCAGGAAATGGTCAGCAAGTCGTTTCTAAGGCCTTGGGATTCTGGAAAAGCATAGAGAGAACTGTTATCTGTAAATGTGATGTGGGTGTTTCTGCAACAGAGTCTGTGCTGCTTTGTCTGGGACTGGAGGTTCATGTTTATGTTTATAATTATTTATGTTGAATGAGATCCCCATAAGCATCAGCAACATGCTGTAAACTACAAAAGGATTAAAATATCTGGTGTGGATGGTGTGATATCTAATGATAAGAGCTCCTTCTCACAGACAAAATGTTTAAAGCAAACTTTTTAGGAAAATAAAGCATTGGTTTGTTTAGCAACAGTATAAAATACAACCGGTTTTTCCAAACTACCACCTTAAGCATGATGTTAACATTCTGACTTCTAGGAAACAGAAAAAGGTAAATAAGCTCTAATAATCAGAAACGAAGAAAAGCCGGGCCGTGTTGTTCTGCACATTTTTTAAAATGTTGCCTGTAGTTTTTCTTTGTCTAATGAGTTCATTAGTCAAGGAAAAACCTATTAGTCATCGTTTAAATAATGTTTTTAACAATAGATACTAAACAACTAAACAATGCAAAGATATTGTCAGACCCTCCATCAACACAAAAAGCACAATCTTCACTCATTGCTTTTAGCAAAACTAACAAGTGAGTATTTTCTTGACTTTTGGATAAGTAACATTTAAATACCCAAAGTAGTTTTGTCCTCCAGTGTTGTCCTTATCATAAACATGCAACACGTTTCTTCAAATTAACCAACTGTTTCTTGATTCCAATGCATTTGCTAATCGCAGATCTGTTGTGAAGTTGCATTTTTTTCTAACAAATTCTTTAGAAATTTGCTTAGGAGTAAAAAGTGACATTTTTTATATTATATTTTTGAAGTTTTTAACAATGTGTTTCTGGCAACTGTCTCAGCTGACAGAGCGTTTGTGGTTTTAGATTTAATTGCTGTCTTTGACACAGTGGCATTAAGTTTTAATTACAGAAATAATGCAGCTTCAGGTTAAAATCTTATTTGGTAGAACAAACTATGTGTCAAGCTTTGTAGGGTTTTATCTCTGCTTTTTCAGTCTGGGGTCCCATTATATTGAGCTTCACATTCTGTTTATATCTGCGACCTTTTGGTTCTATTCCTGGAAATGTGGAGTTTTATCTTCCTCTTATGAAGAGAAGTATTTTTTCACATTTCTTGATGACATGAATGCGTGGTGTAGTTTTGTATTTACCACCCCAGATTTCTGCACAGTAACTTAAACAGGCCAGATCAGCGAACATGTAAAGCTTTTCGCTCCAAGACTGACTCAGTCAGTGATGTATTTTGAGACTTTTCTTTGAATATTTCAAATGTTGGATTTCCAACTCAGTTTATCTTTAAAAATGATTCTTAGAGATGAGTTTTTATGAACTGCTTCAATATTCACACCACCTTTTTGTATTTGAATTTCTGTATTTGATTGAAAGTTCCCAAAATAGCAATATTTATGTTTGGTTCAAGAACAGTTTATTTTCATCAAATGATTAAGTTAGTTATTTTATTATAGTATTTAACAGGTAATGAAATTGATCACACTGTTGGCATTGACTTTAATCCCATTCCATCTCTATATGCCGATTTAATAATTATTTTTCTAACCTATCAGTGTCATAAAGTGGTGTGGTGGCGGTGGTGAGGCAACACGCTGGAGACCCAGGTAAAGTGAGTAGTGAATATTTAATGAAAACAAGTCCACAAAAACACAGTCAACAGAGTCCGCGGCCAGGCAGCACGGCTGAGCGGAAGCCAGGGCTCAACGCCGGTAGCAACTGGTCATACAGGCGGCTAACAAAAACAAAGGCAGACAACGACGTGCAACGACAAGGACCCGACGAGGGACAAAGGACACAGGAGGGACTAAACACACTGAGGGTAATCAAGAGAACGAGACACACCTGGGAGTAATCAAGGGGAAGTCAGGACAACGAGGAGACTCAGGACACAGAAACTCAGAATAAAAACACAGAAAAACATGGAACATGACAGTCAGAGGCCTTCTGTAATTCTTCTGCTTTTCATCCTTCTATTTGTTAATTCAACCATCATTCCTTTCATCTGGTTGTTCCTGATTACATCTTGAATTACTAAACTCTGCAAAAAAAAAAATCATCTTAAAGGGACAAACAAAACAATCCGGATCATGATCAAAAATATTTTGCTCTCTGAATCAGAAACAAGCAACCTCTGCTAACATCAGGCCACAGTCAGCAGAACCAGCAGAACACACTCAGCACTGAACTGACAGAGAAAAAAGTTGACGTTCAAGAACAGCTGATCCAAACAGTTAACCTGACACATCCCTACGTCACCCATTACCAGCCTGGACTTCTGGTCTGAGAACCTCAACAGGATGAATTGTTGCCTGGATAAAGACATTTTGTTCCTCTGTCAGATCATCAGTGAAGGTATTTAAACCCTCCATTCCCTGGTTGAAGGCACACTGCTTCCAGTGAACCTGGTTTCTGCTGCTGCTGCTTTGATTCTTCATCACAAGGTAAAATTTGACTCATCAAACCCAAAACTAAAACCTGCTTACAATTCTGTTCTTCTGATATATTTTATGATAAAATCTAGTTCTGATTGTCAGAAACATAAAAACTTGTTTCCATCATGTTCGTATGGATGGATGAAATGTATCATTTGGTTCAGCAGCTTGTTAAAAATATAGAAAATCATCTAATATTTTCAGTTTTATCTCAGAGTTACTGATGTTTCTTATCTCCATACAGATGAAATTTGTTCTTTTTACTTTGTTCCTTTGTGGATTCATGCTCAAAGTAAATGTGAGTGAAATCTTTCTCTTCTGTTTGCTGTTTAGAAAATCAGTTGTTATTAATGTACTTTTAGTGTTTTTATCTCTTTATTTTGTCCATATGTGAAACAGGCAGTGAAACACTGAAATGTGTCTGTATGAACTGCAGATAAACGATGATAACTTTATCAACTCTAAAAACTTTGAAGACAAAAATGTTTTTCAAAAGTAATTATTTTTTATATGTCTCTTTTAATTAACAGGGGAAAAGTTCATCAGGAGGTTTGTGCTTTAATGTTTCTGGTGTTTGGAGTTCACAAGGTGGCGCTGCAGGTTTCAGTATGAAGACAAGCTGGGCATGAAGGCTGATGTTGAACGTTCATCATTTATTGGATCTAAAACTGCTAAACACAATTTGGACTTTTCCGTGTCCTGATATTAATATGATCTGAATGTGTCATATGCAGAATCCCTCCCAGAGGAAAAATCCCTCGTGGCATGTGAGGGAACAGTGGCTCGACTCTACTGTGGTAAGGTCACTGGTTTCACTGGTCGGTTCTGGAGCATTACACCATGAATACATTCAGGTTTTCAACATTTCCTCTTGGCTCTGGCAGAAGAAGGTCAGGCTATCTATGTGACCAGTGCTACATATGGACGCACTGACAAGAAGAGGTGCAGCGCTGGGAGACCTGCTGACCAGCCAAAGAACACCGAGTGCTCCACAGACGCAGGGAAAGTTGGTGAGAGGTACAGAGCTTCAGTGTTTCCTGAAGGTTTATCAAACTGGATGTGAATGAGGAGGTCTAAGAAAGGCAAATCGCTGACTTTGACCCGAATCCACAGGTGCAACGGGAAACAGTGGTGTAAAGTCAAAGCCAGGAACTATGTGTTGGGAGATCCCTGCTATGGGACCTACAAGTACCTGGAGGTGGAATATATTTGTTACGGTGAGTTCAGGCTCTCACTTCACAAAAATCTTTCTCAAAACAGGAACAGCTTCAACAAGTTGGTGCAACACAAACAACAACTTTATGGATGCTATTTTTGCTCATTTTAATGTTGTGTCTCTTCTAAACAAAAATCCATCAGTAGCAGCTTTATTCACTTTGTTCTTTAGCCTGATTAACAAATCCAGGATATTAAATTAGCAAATTAATACAAAATATTAGTGTTTTCATTAAACATTAAAAAATTATCTGGTCTAAATTCAGTTTTTATTTTTATTTGTTTATTTGTTAAAGGCGTTTTTCCTTCCTTTCATCCATTTTTGGTTTTAAATGTAAAAGTCATGATAATCGAAAAATTATAATTTCTTCAGACTTTGAAAACCCTGACCGATCTCTTCATGACACTGTCTTTGTCAGAGGCTTCTCCAGGCTCACTGTAACACTGACTGCTACAAGAGATCTCTTCTGCCAAAAGCAGTTATCATCTACACTGTAAAATCTAATTAGTACCAATACTTCAAAAAGCTTGTAAATGGACTGCACTTAGCCAAACATATTTTAAGTTGCATCAAAAAGTGCATCCTTTGTTTTGAACATTTACAGATTAGTTAAAGCAGCTCAACCCATCAAGCACTTAAATCAAGAACCACATGCCTCAAATTTCTATGCATAAATCAAAAACAGGTTCCAATCTTCTAAGTTAAAATTCAGAAATACTTTATTGGTGCATTCTGACTGAAGACACTTTTTCCCCAAGACAGTCAGAAAAGGTTGTCAGAGTTGTCAATATTTTACTTGATTTTATAAATAATCCTGTGCCTCATCATCTTTATTATGTCCAGATGTTCCCCAGTTGTGCCCAGAATAGAAGCAGAAGTCGCCTTCTTCTTCAGGATGCCGACGAAGGCTCTGATGCTGCTGCCCCAACAGATGACGCAGAGGGCAACAGACTGAGAGAAGATCTGCAGCATTCTGCTGCAAACCTGGAAGAATCTTAGCTCCCTCAAGAAGCTGAATGAAAATAATCTGAATTGCAATTAAACATAATAAATAAAGTAATAGAGTTAGTTTGAAAATATTTTTATTTTCATTTCTGTAATATAAAGATTAATGACAGCCTTTTTGTTAAACTGCTTCTTTGGTAAACTACTTCACCCAAAATAAGAGAAAATTCAGAGAGGAATATGTTTGTGGCCTTACATTAAATAATTCAGTTTTTAAGGTTTATAATGTATTCCTCTCACTTCACAGGAGCCAGGCTGGTAACTGAACTCTGCTGGCAAACTGTTAGCATGCAACCCTTATCAGTGTTTGTAGTTTGTAACAAATAGATCCATGAATGACTTTTTGTTTTTTCACCTTCAGTGAAATGTTGGTAAAAACAAACTGAATGTTCCCATAACTGAGTGGCTCTTAGATGCTTATATGAAAACTTACCAAGCAGGTTATGTAGAAGTCACTGGGACCACTACGAACTGAAACTGGGAGAACTCAAAGGACAATAATTCACATGGTCATCACATCTAGAAGTGGAAATTAATGACTAGTTTTACGTGACTCAATTCTACACCAACCAGTTCTATTTCAACCAGCTCTACATCACCAAGGTCTACATCAACCGCACAACTTCACCCAGTTCTACAGTCCTTTACTGAGATAACAGACTTTAAACTCCAGCTGGTCGTTTATAAATTACTGAACAGATCAAAGATGTGCTGCTGCTGGATCAACCTTCAGATCTCTCAGGTTGTGGTTCTGATTCTTCTCTGCATCCAGAAAACAGAAGCGAACATGGACCAGCAGCAATCAGCTTCTATGCACCGCAAACCTCCAGCAAATGCAACCCAGGCAAAGCAATCAGTTTCTTTAAATCAAGGCTAAAACCCACCAGTTTAAAGTTCCTTTGAGCCATGAACAATTAAACATTGATCAACATGATACTGAAGATTATTGATTATATTTATAATTGCTCCGTTTTTATGGCTTTTGTTTTTTAATAATGTAAAAGTCTTTGGACGGATTTCATTTGGTGAAATGTGGTATACAAATAAACTTTATTGATTGGCAAAGACAACGAGAACGCCCAAAAATGTGACATTAGTTTTGTATTTAGGTTTCTATGTAAAATGAAACATGTTTGCGTGGCCATTTTGTGGGGACTTTCCATTGATTTCCATTAATTTCTACAACCTAAACCTTACCCTTAACCTTAATCAGAACTTAATTCACGTGTTGGTCCTAAATCTGAACCCTGACTAAAATACAGCATTTTCCCTGAGGGGACCAGGCTTCGGTCCCCACAAGGAGCAGCGGGTCCCCACAACACTGTACATGTCACGAAAACCCAAAAGGTAATATAAACAAACTCACAAACACACACACACGCACACACATACGCACACACACACGCACATACACACACACATACACACACACCCACCCACCCACCCTCACACACACACGCACACACGAACACACGCACGAACGCACGCACACACAGGCCGGTCTGTCAGGAACTCCAGGCCTCTTTCTCCACAGTTTGCTCCTGGGCTGCTGCATAATTAAGATAATAAAAACTCCAGAGGACAAACTAATCTGGATATTTAAATCTCATCTCTGAAAAGTGAAGTAAAGACTAATTTATTAGTTTTGCTGAAGGCAATGACTCAAGATTGTGCTTCTTGTGTTGATGGAGGAGTGTGTAAATGGCTTTGCAATGTTTAAGAGCCTTTCCTTCACTGAGGAGCTCAAGTAGTTGAAGGAAAACTCCAAGGAATCTTTAAAGTAACGTCCAGAATGGCCAGGTCCACTTTACATGTGACCAGGGAGAATAAGGGGACGGGTCAGAAGGTGGTCAATCCTGAAGCTACTTCTTCACTTTTCTGATTATTAGAGCTTATCTAACCTTTTTCTATTTCCTAGAATGTTAACATCATGCTTAAGGTGGTAGTTTGAAAAAACCGGTTGGATTTTATACTGTTGCTAAACAAACCAATGCTTTATTTTCCTAAAAAGTTTGCTTTAAACATTTTGTCTGTGAGAAGGAGCTCTTATCATTAGATATCACACCATCCACACCAGATATTTTAATCCTTTTGTAGTTTACAGCATGTTGCTGATGCTTATGGGGATCTCATTGATAAATAATTATAAACATAAACATGAACCTCCAGTCCCAGACAAAGCAGCACAGACTCTGTGCAGAAACACCCACATCACATTTACAGATAACGGTTCTCTCTATGCTTTTCCAGAATCCCAAGGCCTTAGAAACGACTTGCTGACCATTTCCAGACTGAAATATCAAAGATTTATTTCTTCTCTCTTCCTAAATGTATTTACATCAGGCTATGATAAATAAAGCTATATTTCAACAAACTGTATACATAGGATTGAAATGAATTAAGCATTTAAAACAACATTTTGTATTTACTGGGATCAACTTTACATGACACTAAAATTTGTCCACAATCTGACAAAACTGAGAAAAGCAAATTCAGAAGGAATCGTGAGCTCCAACATGTTTCCAGAGATATTAGGAGGGTTTTATGTATTAAACTCATCCAAGAGTAAAATGACTGGGATTTCATAGAGCTGATAAAGACATCAATGGTTTATGATTCCTGTATGAAACCAGAGAGCAGATGGAGACGGCTGACAGAATCACGGTCCACATCAAGGCCAACAATCTTTGTTAACAGAAAATCCCACCTGGCTGCTGCAGCCAGTATCTAAAACCCAACGGGTTTTTCATCCCATCATTTTCAGTCTGGTGTGACCTGCGAGCTGGGCTGGGGCTATAAAGAGATGATCAATGATTTATCAATAGGAATGAGGAGAAATGGCTTCAGGTGTGACACACCCATCACCAACCTGAACTTCTGATCAGAAAAACTCAGCAGGCTGAATTGTTGGAGTAAAATATTTTCTTCCCCTGCCAGATCATCAGTGAAGGTTTATAAACCCTCCATTCCCCTGTTGAAGACACATTGCTTCCAGAAAGTCCTGCTGCTGCTTTGATTCTTCATCACAAGGTAAGATTTGACTAAAACTGGATGATGTCAACCTATAGTTGCATTTTTGATATGCTGAGATTTAAGCGTACAAAGAAGGAACAGTAAGTTTAAATCTTACTAAAGCTTTTATGTTCATATTTATGAATTAAAATGTATGTCATTTAGTTCAGCAGATTGTTATAAATATTTCATAAAATCATTGAGTTTTTCTCAGTCATATCTCAGAGTAACTGAATGTTTCCTGCTTTCATACAGATGAAATTCATCCTTTTTACTTTGTTCCTCTGTGGATTCATCCTGGAAATCAATGTGAGTGAAAACCTTCTGTTCTCTTTGTGGTTTGAATATCTGTTGTTAAAAACATTATTTTACTGGTTTTATTTAGCAATTGTAGTTTTTTTGTTTAGTTGTTAACCAGATTTTAGTTTGATGCTTACAGCTCCAAGAAGCTTGAAGTAAAAATCTTCTGTCGTTTCCATTTGTGATTAATTTTGTCTTTTGTTTATTTATTTTTTAACAGGCAGGACGTGGTTTTCAGAAACCGAAAGGTTAGTGTTGCAAGTTTTAATATGAAGATCATTGAATCTAAAATTATGAAACATACATTTTTCATTAGATCCTGGATAGCTGAACTTTTCAGTGTCTGATATTAATATCTGAATCTTATCACAGAATCAAGGTCGTTGGCTGGAATATTGTCCCATGTGACATGTGAGGGATCAGTTGGTCCATCAAGTGTGGTAAGGTCACTGGTTTTACTGGTTGGTCTGGAGCATTACAGCATGAATACATTCAGATTTCCAACATTTCCTCTTCTATCTTCCAACAGCAAGTGGGGCGCTATTTCTGATCAGCGTTAGATATGGACGCACCGATCGGATGACGTGCTCCCAATTTATTCCTGGCGAACGCACAAAGAATACTAATTGTTCTGTGAATGGAGCTTCAGAACTTGAGAGGTACAGAGCTTCAGTCTTTGTTAAAGGATTTTCAAACAGAATATTAATTAACAAATCCAAGAAACACCAAATCACAATTTCAAGAAAACTGATTTTGATCTGGATCCACAGATGTGCGGCGGAATCGGAGTGTACTGTCTCAGCCAGTAATTTTGTGTTTGGAGATCCCTGTCCTGGAACCTACAAGTACCTGGAGGTGCTTTATATATGTCAAAGTGAGTTTATGGTCTAACTTCAGTGCAGTCTTTTTATATTCAATAACAACATTGAAAAACATTCATGTCACATTTGTTTTATCCAGGTGATTTAAATTGCCTTCCTTTATCAAAAGGAAACTCCATCAATAACAGCTTCATTTTTAATGTTCTTAACCTTATTAACAAATCCAGATATTTAATTGGCAAATTAATTGACATAAGTTTTTTTTCTACATTTATCCATATAAGCAAGGTTACATTTTTGCATTTTAATTTTCATTCATATAGTTTTTTTTATGTATTTATTTTATTTATTAATTTGTTTATTCTTGTTTTTTGATTCCTCTAATTTCTTCCTTTTTGTATAAAACACGTAGCATCACATCATAAAATATCCAGACTTGGAGTTTGGTTGCCATGTTGATCCTGTGGAGCAGCTTTTGTCCAAACTCTGCAGTATCGTTAAAACTTTTCCCTCAACAGCTGTAATGTTCCAGTCCAGCTCAGTAACACAGTCAGTAGCGCTAATGCCTTGCAGCAACAAGGTCCTGGGTTTGAATCCCAGCCTGGGTCTTTCTGCATTTATTTAGAAAGAATACATTTAATTTTTGCATCAAAGCCAGAAAACCAGCCTTGAGTCTCCAAATGCCTTGTTGCAGGTTTAGAACTGGTGATATTTTACTTTCTGATGTCTAAAATGCATTCTGCTGAGATTATATTGATATTTTCCAGATCCATTACCACGTATTTCTCCCAATAACGACCATCAGATCTGATGTGCTGAGAATGAAATGCATCACAATCAATAACATCTACAGACCTTGTGATCCACTGATGTGCAGCTTCATCTCTCTTCAGTGTCTTCTAGTTTTCTTTACATTTTATTTGTTTTTCTTCCCCAATCTTCATCCAACTTTCGTCAATAAACCTGACATGCATTTACATTTTGCTCAATTTGCCTTTGTTCGCTACAAACAGCCTGATGGGGTGAAAACTTTGACAAACTCCTTCCAAACTATGAAGACAGTTAAAAAACGGTTTCCAGTCTGAAGGAACATGTGGAGGAAGTTGGTTGAATGTCTGTGAGAACGCTGTCAAAAAATCATCTGGATCAGATCAAGATGGCCGCCAACCAGACGCGACACCTTCAGGACGTTTAAACAGTCAATAATTGAGAATCACTGCTCTGGAGTGAGTTTGCTGCACTGAAAGTAAAGGGGCAGAATAATATTTCATGCTTCACTTTGCAGTTTTTTATTGTTAAAAGTTTAAAATATCCATTAAATGTAATTCCATCTGAGAATTGTGTCCCACTTTTTATTGATGCTTCACAAAATAATGTTTTAGATCGTTATGTTTGAAGCCTGAAAAGCGGCAATAGATTGAAAAGTTCAAGGGGTTTGAATACTTTCGCAAGGAACTGTAATTCAAAATAAAACTAAAAACAAGACACATACACACCAATTAACCCTAAAATAAACACATTTATGTGAACATCCTACTTCGGCCAGTGACTTATCATCTTGTTTTTTTTATTTTGATCAGGAAGAAAATATATATTTAAGAGTTACATCCACAGCGCTGATTATGTGACTGATTACTGGTGTCTGGATTCTCCCTCAGAGAGAAAAGCTCTGCCATCCAGGAGGGACTCAGAGTAGATCCGCTGCTCCTCCACATCGAGAGGAGCCAGTTGAGGCTGGGACTCTGGTCAGGATGCCTCCTGGACGCCTGCCTGGTGAGGAGTTCACGTCCCACCGGGAGGAGGGGAAGACAAGGACACGCCAGAGGGACGATGTCTCCCTGCCGGCCTGGGAACGCCTTGGGATTCCCGTGGAGGAGCTGGAAGGAGAGGCTGGGAGAGGGAAGTCTGGGCCGCCCTTGTTAGGCTGCTGACCCCGCGACCCGACCCCGGATAAGCAGAAGAAAATGGCACTGAGAATGTAATGCCTGTTCCTGGTTTCTCCATTGTCACTGTATGGTGTTTTTATGATCTTTTATTTTTGTGTTTTTATGATGTAAAACACTTTGAACTGCCTTGTTGCTGAATTTAGCTTTAATACAAATAAAGTTGATTGATTGATCCCTTGTGTGTCAGCAGTGGTCTGATAAGCCTCTAAAGTTTCCTTCATGTCTTGCTGTGAGGTCAATTTGTGCTCAAGTTATTTTGTTACTCACTCAGTTAAGGCTGTTATCTTGCCCTCTGTTTAGTTCCATTTTATCATTTTATTTTTTACATTTCTTAATAGTTTACAGAGTAGGATGGCGTTGGGAGTACAAGTCAAAGGATTTTAAAGTATCTTCCAAACTTTGGGAACCTGGTGGCTCAAGCATCTGGTCTCTGATGGGTCATGATTTCACTTGTTTGACGTTACCATGGAGGTTTACAGACAGATTTATTTCCTCTATTAATTGTATTTTACTCTAAAGTTTATTATCTTTTTCCAAAGAAATAAACTGACATGACAAAAAAGTTTATTGATGCAACAGATTTATTTGAAAAAAGATTTTATCCTTGTATCTTCCAGCAGCGACGCCATCGAGGCCTGACATCCTGGAGGAAGTGACATCACCAGTGAGAAGGTCACATGGTCATGTTGGATTTCTCAGGAAGAGGAAAGAGGAGTTAGCGTCTTTTGGCACAGATGGAGTAACTCCTTGCGGTGCATGGTGCATCATTCATGTCTCCTGAAGAGAAATAATGATAATAATTATGATGATAATAATAATAATAATAATAATAATAATAATAATAATAATATAAATAAAATTTTTCAGCAGCTGTTGAATCTGTTTGGGATACAAACCCAGAAGGTCCTAAGATTTATTAAAATCATCAGATTAACTAATTATTAGCTATATGCTGCATAGCATCGTTAGCTCTGTTCTCAGAGTTTCAGAATGCTCACCTAGCTCGTAGATCTCCATGCAGTGTTCATTTCCACCAGAGTTATCTGGTTGCCCCTTGCCCCACTGGGTGAAGCTGAACTTTGACCCATCATTCCAGCCACACACCCTCCTGAAACCAAGTGGTTTTTAAGCACATAGTTTATGATACATGCATTTTATTAGGTTCCAACACACTGAGGACTGCAGCTGTCCATCTCTGAGGGTATATAAGGTGTCCAAAGTTCACCTCAGGGGACATTTTGTAACCAGGAATAATTTTACATCCCCAAAGATCATAATCTAAATAAAATCCACCAGCACAGGTGGTTTATGCAAAGACAATTTTAATATTTTATTGCAAGATCCATTCATCCATCCATCGATCCTTTGCTTATCTGGTCAGAGGTCGGAGACCCAGATTTCCCTCTCTCTGCCCCTTTTCCCAGCCACTCTGGGTAAAAAGCAAACAATTTGCTCTAACCATCCCTCACTACCAAAAAATTAAATAAAAAGAAAAAACTGACCTTGACGGCATCATAGCCTCCGAGCCAGGTCCTCTGGTACGATCCTTTCTCAAATCTGATCAGCTTCTGGAGGAAAGTGAATTCACCTTTGTTGTGGACGGAGGCCAGATTTCCACCATATCTAATGCAGGCACGCTGAGAAAACAAACAAAAATCAAAGTACAAACCATAAACACTGAAAAGCAACAAACAGCAAAATTAAGTTAATAAAAAAGAAAAAAATCTGATTTAATTGTTAAAGTTTGTTCGACTCTTCTGAAGACAGACTTGTAGCGACACTTGATGGCTAGCAGCACATTTTGTTGCTCTGAAACTCGTTTCATTGAACAACGTCTGGAAAATGAGTCGTTTCTTTTCTCTGTATTGTCTTTACAGTCCTGATTTTTTGTGCTGGTGGATCACAACAGGTTGCAAGCAAGGGCGTAAATCCCAGCAAATTATTGGAGGGAAAAATAAACAGGAAGTTTTCTTAAGACCAATTTTAGGGGGTCGGAAAAGAAATCTCATGTAAAATGTGGTTTAAAAACGTCTCAAAGCTTCTAAACCACAGATTTGCTAGTTTTGATTTCCAAACCATAACAAGATTCAGTCAAAGTGATGAAACAACAAACTGCAGTCTGATTTTTATTGATAATATTTCACTCTATTGAGCAGTGAAAATAAATACAAAGTTTACATCTTTTGCTTTAAGTTACTTACTGGAGGGTTTTATGTTTAGCACTGTTTAGCTGTTGCTCCTCCTACACTTTGGACTGAACCATTGTTCTAATAATGGTGGGGGCCTAAAAATTCCTTCTTATTTTTGTCTTAGATGAGACAGATTTACTTAATTCTTTGTTTCTCTTGCCTTTTCATATTGTTTAAATGCAACATTTATTCAATGATACTTTGGGGGGAGTACAATTCTAGACTTTTCCAATATTTGGGGGGTTAAGGGAGAACCTGGACCCTCAACAGGCTTCTTCTTGTTAAAGGGAAGTTTTCCTTTCCACTGTCGCTACATGCATGTTAGATATGAAGGATTACTGTAAAGTTAACAAGAAAACACAACTGATCGTCCTGATGTATCACTAGGATTTATTGAAATGCTTATTATTGAGCTGAATTGATTATTTAATAGTGTCATGAAGTGAAAGTTGTTTGTGAATTATGGTACATTCAAATTAAACAAAAGCATTCAAAAGGAAATTCTAGATTCCAGATTAAGCTCTCAAAAACATTAAGGAAATTACAAACTGATTATTTATAAAAGAAATGTCTGGTCAGACAGGGCAGATTAATTAAAAAGTTAAATAAATAAAGTGGCAGATTTACAACTAGCATAAAATTAACTGTTTTTTGCCTTAAGCAGTGATTTTTTTACTGTACCTCAGCAGTAGCCCAGTCAGTTTGGTTATTCTGGAAGATGAAACAGCGATTTCCATAATTATTCCAACCACGTGGGCATGAACGAGCTGGGAAATGCAAAGAAGTGCAACAGATCCTAAATAAAAGCTAAACAATATTTATTATCAAAATGAATTTGAAGAAATTATATATCTTATCAAATGGAACAGAGACGAGCAGCAGAATCCTTGTTCTTCATAAATGAATGACAATGTATTAAAGCAGCTATGTTGTTGATGAGTATCACATTTAGACTTCTGTGTAATTAATCAACAATCCATCATGAAGTCAAAATGTAACAAAACTGTCAGCTTCCTTTCCGTCAGATGGAAATACTTACCACATGCAGCCTGTGAATAGAGAGAACATAGAGATTAATAAAACCATATGTCACTCAAAACTGCTAATCTAGCTGAGTTTCATCAATGTTTTTATCCTACAATTAACTTGGATGAACATACTAAAGAAAAAAATTATATGGCAGACCCAAACCCTACGGTCTGCCTTACCCTAACCCTGACCCTAACCCTAACCCTAACCCTAACCCTAATCCTATTTTTATAAATATATAAAGTCCTGTATCTGTTTATCCATATCAAATGAGAAACTTCTCACAGAGCATCAGAACCCAAACGTTTCAGAAACTTTTATTACATCAGATCAATTTTAAAGTGCTGTAACCAAACATATTCATAAAAGGTTGAGTGAAAGAAAAACAGTCCCTATGCAATAGTTCAGAAATTCAAGCAAAAGGAGCCCAGACCGGGTGCTGAGAGCTTAGAAACTGTCAAGTTTAAAGGTACAAAGCATTTATTTAGAGGTGAGTACAATTAATTGGTAGATAATTTTTAACTACACAATTTTAATATTCTGTACATTTTAACAATATTGCATGTATTTTTTCAACTTTAAACAAAGTTCCAGAGGGAGTTTTAATAGTCCAAATAGTGAGCTTTGTGAAGGTCTTTTAAGTTTAAAGACCTTTAACTCACAGTTGCAGTGCCTATATGTATGTAACTGTCTGTCAGTCCTGCTCGCTGTTCACCTGCCAGCAACCAATTAGCTGTTTTATCATCCAGCTGCTGACTGACCTGATTAGACTCACCTGGTGGAGCGCCACCTGCAGGGCAGCAGGTTGCCCTTACAGTAATGAACAGAATCTTTTATCATCAATCAAATGTAATATTCAACTTTTTGGAAACACTAAATTTTGGGTTTTCATTCTCTGTGAGTCGCAATTATCAAATGCAAGATGTAATATTTGACTGTATGTGTAAGAAAATCTATATGATATAATGAGTTTGAATGTCTGACATAAATACTGAACTTTTCACAATAACTTTATTTTAAATGTTTAATACAGTAACTCTTCATTCTGTGACTCAGCTTCACTCTAAACATTTCCTCAATAATATTTTATAATGTTTTCCATTTGAGAAAAGAAGAAGGCAGACTCACATCGGCTCCGCTCCAGAGAACGCAGCTCAGAGAGAGGAGCAACGCCAAGTAGAGAACTGAGGCCATCTGAGGGACAATCAGCACAAATATTCACTTTTTCAGGAATAATGAATTTACAAAGCGGTCATATGTATTCACACCAACCATGGCTAACTAGCCATGGTTTACACTTGTTCTTATCAAACCTGAGGAAGCACTAAGGTTTGATGACTTATGTTCAAATCCATCAACTGCAGCAGGAAGCTCCAGCCAGCAGAGCACAGCTAACGAGGCTAACGAGGCTAATGAGGCAGCTGGAACACTGACTGCTAAGCATGCTGCCAATGTACCTGAGATATTTAGAGAAAGTTTAGGAACATCTTGCAGTCGACTTCCAAGTATTTCTTTGTGACCTTGGACTCTTCAGCTGAAGGTATCAGGACAAGAGCGTCAGTGACCTTGAGTCCAGTGCTAACGTTGTTAGCCACTCTGAGATGCTTAAAGCTACAATTCGGAGCTACAGGAGGAAAACAGGCTGAAGCTGAAACTTCCTGACAACAAAAGGACAAAAGGCATCAAACAAACAAACTAAGTGAGCTGAAGGTCTTTTCTTAGCCGTGGGCCGAGACTCTGAATATTTTAGGCAGTACAGTGGAACGAGGCTGAGCTGACCTTTAGATGACCTCCTATTTGTCTTAGCAACTGAAACCCGGTGAACCGTAGCAGCAGGGAGATGCTGGACTTTTGTAGAAATTTATTTCTGATCACAAGTCATCACCAAGTTATGCTGATGCCTTGCTTTTCTATGTTTCTGACCTGCTGAAGTCAAAACTCCAGATATTAAATCATGTTGGAAAAATGTCTGTAAAAACATTTCAAATGAAAGCAAACAGATTGTTTTTGGTCCACCTTTATTTAACAGCAAGAAGAGAAAGCCCACCTACATATCTAGGTAAATAGAACCCCATTAGGATGCAGCATCAACCACCCGGAAAAAAGTCCTCACATCTATAGAAACATATTTTCATGTTTGCTCAGATTTTTGGTCTTTTCTGAGACAAATGAAGAAACTCCCTGACTGACCAATCACTGCATTGTTGCTAAAGACGAGCGCGAGTCCCGAGACATTGTTGGTTGTAGTCAGTATCTGATGATATGACAAAAGATCTACTTGAATTTTAAAAGCAAAGCGATAAAGAAGAGCAGCTCAA